AATCTTACTGATAATCTTAAAAGTTTATTTTGCTACCTGTGGCTTGTTGAAAACTAGTCAGGGCGTGATGATTTAACAATCGTTGGGATAAAACATGATGTTCTTGTGATTATGTGTTGTCCATATTTCTAATTTCTATAGATCTACAGGTCGAACAATATTACTGACAACTTGAGTCAAAAATCGCTCGAAGAAACACTATTCTGTTGATTAGGGCGCCTTATTCGGGACTTAATTGATTCCCACAAAAAGTCGAAGAACTCGCAGATAGTCAGTACACTGCAGCCAAGAAGTAAGCCCATATTACCACCAAGTTCACCTGAAATTGTAGAAACAGACGCGATCATTTGTTGTTAAAGCTTCTTTTCCTTTTTTATGCGTTTTATTAATTTACAAGAATGAACAAGATAGAAACGACGTCTGTTCGCCCACGCGTTAATAGCCTGTTACGTTCCAGGCGTTCACCAGCCCCTGCCCCCCCGCTGTGTTTTTCTGCTCACTATTTTTTTGCGCCGACCCCACTATCTGAATATGCCTGGAACAGGCTAGCACGTGAAATGAATCCACTGCCGGAAGTTGGATAGAATAAGATATAATAAGCTTCTCAGGACTGTGTATCAACATTTCGAAACTCTGAGTAAGCGGGTTATATGCATGCATACGAGGATCGGAGATACTTGCTAAAAAGCCAGGTCGTCAGTAAGCACGGAAATAAATCCTAGTCAATCAGAAGCGCAACAAGTTGAGAAAAATTGTAGCCTGCGTAGCAAGCGTTTCCAATCGAGTTATTGCGCGAAAGTTAGAGTGGAAGCAAAAAAAGGTTGAAGGGGGAGGGGGAGGGGAGAAGAGGAAACGCTTGCCCGCAAACCCCACGATTCTGGAAAACGCCCCTTGATATTTCACGGTTCGGTTCATTTGTAAATTGACAGCTCGTCAAAATAGAAACATAACGAACAGATTACCCCTGGATTACCAGATTTGTAAAATTACTTTGTTCTCTAATAGAACACGTTCCAGGCGATTGCAAGAACTGTAATAAAAAAGATTTACGATAAAAGAAGGTTAAAACTATGAGCGATTGGTGAGGAATTTCTTGTTTTCTATTGTGTGGCTCTTGTGTAGCTTCCAATTAACAAGTACATTTGAAAGAGTAAAACGACTGCTCATTTCAAAATTAACGATAAAAACGACCTTAAAAAACTCAAAATCGAGAAATAATTCTTTCTCGATACTTTACTCACCAAAGAGGCTCTCGGATCCATAGCTTGGAACATCTTCCCTCATTTCGTAGGACAGCCGTTGAAAACCCACTTGAAGAAACACATAGTTTTCCCTTAGAATGTGGAAAAAAAGATGAGTAAGTGGGTATTATGACGATATTTGGAACTGTCCGTTGCTATGATCTTATGGTCTCATAATCAGTGGGTTGATAGTGGGCTGATAGTGGATGACGTTTTTGTGATATCTGGAATAATCAAGGTTAGAAAGTACTGATCAGACACTTACTGAGACCTTGATTATTCCGGATATCACAAAAACCGAATCTAATACGTAATTGTTTTATTACTCACTGTTTTAAACAAAATAAGGATAAACACAGCATCGCATGGAACGCAGTTTGACATTGCTCTTGGAAATCATGCACTTCGCGCACAACCTACAGATTTTTCAGTAAGCTGCTAACAGATAACTAACTAAACTGTAGATTGCGCTGATTTCTAGAATTAACTGTAGGATCCTAACCAGTAAAAAGACAGATAGTGATTACAATTTATACTAATTGCTATAATTTGCATTTGATTTTTAAAGTGTCGGGACTGTGAGGGACAATCTCGGGAGAGTGAAAAGCACAAAGTCATAACATACGAGTCTGACTGACAAATACTGCAGTGGCTTTGAGAATTTTAACGCTTTATTTTGTTTATGTGATTTGAGGTTAAAATTTTGCTACTTCTTTCACCTTTCCTCTAATCGTAATACATAATTGGTGAAATGTAAAAATCATAAACACATACTCCCTAAATCAATTTAGGTTTGTGGGAAACTACCCACCTACCCATCGCCTAAGCTGACATCAACACTTACTTCTTACTTTGGGCAACAGGATGGCTTAGGGGAGGGGTAGGTGGGAAGTTTCCCATTAACCAAAATTGATCCATGGCTTCTTATAAAGGTGCTTTTAATAACAACTTACTGCATATATTTGAGACCCTCTATTTTATGATAGTAATGATAGAAAATGTTAGCTATTGAAACATCCGGGAATTTGGAATAGGAAACACGTGGTTCGTATTCCAGTTCGGAGCATGCGTTGCTGCAGCTGGAACATGACGTTATATTAAACTGATCTGAAAATAAACAAGAGGTGTAATAGATCCCAAACTTTCTACAATTGATGACTAAAATATAAGCTATATATTTTAGATATTTTATAGCTTTTAACATTTTAATCTATCTGACATTTTAACATTCTTAACCTGTAGCTTGCATAATTTAATAGGTTTTTAGTTCTTACCTTTTTACTTATTATTACTATTACGCATTCATTTATCTAAGATCATCTATTTTTTCTATTGTTTTACAGGGCCTCACTGAATATCACTCTTTGTGAAGTGAGCTTCCTGTATAAAGATCGTTGTTATTATTATTATAATTATTTTTATTATTAATATTATAACGTATAGTTCACTCTTCCTAATATGATGAGTGACAAATGACTCTTTAATTATGGCAAGAAATTTCGCGGTTAATTTATAATTTGACATCTGAAAGTTTGTCTCAGCGCCAAGATGGCGTTACGGTTTTAAAATGTTGTGAATGAAGATGCCAGGGCATTAAAAGACGATTTAGAAAACTTAAAGACAGGAAAGAGATCTAACAGGTTTTTCGTCGAAAATTTAAGATAATTGTGAAGCTATTAAGCCCAAATTGATGCTCTAAAATTTTCAGTTTGTTGCCTAACTTATATCTTTAGAATCGGGATAAAGTTACCTCGCGCGCTTTGTGGATGTTTCGTGGAGGTTTCGCATGACTAAACGCCGTGCAAAACACGTCGGGCGAAAGGCAATGAAAGCGTAAAGAGATTGAAAGCATTTCTGAATTTTGAAGCGAAAGGAATCGGCGCTCACCTGGGAAAAGGGAATCCCTGGACTTTTTGACAACCCGTGAGATCAGTTTAACTCGAAGTTGTCGTAACCTCTTTGCTTTAATAAAATGAGAAATTTCGCCGGTCTCTTGAAACCGGTCGTTTGTACAATAAAGCAAGTAGGACGCTAAGTGTTATTTTTGTTGAATAATAAAAGACTAATAAAAGAATGAATATCAAACCAGAATTTGCTCTCTTTAAACTGTAAATTATAAATGATCCTGAGAGAATATTCAGTGTGTTAACGATTTCCCTGCTGTACTGTTAGCTCTATACAAGACAGGAAGAGCGATTCTTCTTTAATTTCCGTTTCGCTGACACAGCTTTAGCAGAAGAAATCTCGCTTTAGTCGTTTTCGTCGACAAAACGAATAGCAATATCGTTCTCCGCGTCTTCCGCCATTTTTTTCAGCGTCAATTCGTGAAGGACGCGTGGCTCTCAGCGTGGGTCATCCACGCGGAACACATTCGCGCTATGTGATAGGCTGTTGTCTAATCCCCCTCGGGATCTGTGGTCTTAAAAATAACTCGAGACGAATTACCTATGGAATAGGGTGTGTATGGGGGATGCCTTCTCTGTCCCCTTTATCCTCCCTTGCTGAGAAGATAGTGAAGATAGTGAAATTTAAACAAGCTTTCGCATTAAGGAACGACTTCTGTGACGTCACTCTGTCCTAATGAAATCTGCGAGAAGCTTTAACTGATTGGCCGATAAGTTTGGCATTGTCCAAATTTTTAGACGAGCGAGGCTAGAGGAGAAAAAGTGCCACTTTATTTTCGACCGCTTATAAACTTTTGCGCAATTTTTCTTTTGACAGAGTGACGTCAATCATCAATTAACAGTTTTCAGTTTTCTATGGTAACATTCCGTAACGGAAAATTTCAGTCGGATGGGGATGGATTTTTAAGTCGCAGGAGAACGGTCAGTGACTATATGAACACCAATTGCATGCCTAGAAAAAAGATGCTTTTTTCAGAAATATACAGTTCATTGCAGGTCGTTGACCGGATTTTTATTATGAGGGCTATTTTTTATTTTGTCTTAGTTTATATAATGTGTGTTCGTTTGTTTACGTCAATCTCAGTTAGATTTTATACATGAAAGTCTCGTAGTTTTCCACAACATTTCAAACGACTGAAGGATTTATTAGTAACCGAGTGACATAGAATGAACTGTAGTTTTTACCTGTAGATCGCCTAACACAATCAGAGTCCCGAATCGAACACAGCGGTACCGTCTGTGGACCTTTAAAAAAAAACAATTCAATCAGATAAATTAGAGAAAACATCAAGAAAATATCAGAGAGAGCTACTATGACAGAGATTCAAAAGATCTGCATGCTGGGATCGAATCCTCAGAAAGGTGCTTAGTGTATGAACAGAATGATTGACTTGAGTGATTGACGCTCTAGATGCATGGTTTGCGCCCGGCTGATGCACAAAAAGGACACCCGCAAAGACTGCGATAAAAGAGACAATAATAATAATAATAATAATAATAATAATAATAATAATAATAATAATAATAATAATAATAATAATAATAGACAATTTTATTAAAAGACTATTAAAATCCTATTTACAATTAATTCGCTTAAAAAAAAAGAAAAACTATTCATTCAAAAACACTATTTACAATTTCTGTCGATTTAAAAAGCACTTAATTTAGCTTTAAAAAAAAGTTTATTAAAACTAAGAAAAATTTTTTCGAATTAAAAAAACATTTCATTTCAATAAAAAAAAACTGTCAACCTCTAAGATTCAAAAGTTTCTTTCAACTGCTAAAAAACAAAAAAAAACAAAAATAGTAATAATAATAATGAAATAAAAAGATATATATGAAGTAAGGAAACACATCAATAGTCCGATTTAATGGCTCCTTCAGCAACTTCGACGTCGATATCAACATTCTTAATGTCACATGGCACTCCTCTGGTCCTAGAGCCTCGAAGACAAACCAACGCAGATCTCAAGAGTGCGAATGAGGTTCTGGTTCTGATCCATGAGATGGTTTTGGCATACTGCTCCCCTTTTTTGATGGCAATCAGCTGTGCTAAACGGCTATGATACTTCAAGCACTCCTTTCCCATTCCGCCAGTTGTGTTGAAGACCAAGGGTGTAAATGTTCCATGCTCGATGTCCAGGACTCTCTCTGAGTAGAGACGCTTTTTCTCGTTCTCATGGATAATAATAATAATAATAATAATGATGATGATGATGATGGTTTATTAACAGCATTTGTATAAAAATAGGCTCTTGACGTTTGCTGATAAAATATATAGTATATATTCAGCTAGAAAAAAAAAACATTATGCGTGGTAAAAAAAAAAAAAAAAAAAAAAAGAAGAAAAAAAAAACGATGCTAACTTATTAACTGACTAAAAAACTAACTACCTAACAATGATCAAAATACTGTATTTGGAACTATTACATTTTAGTACACTTGTCTTCGCTATTTTAAAATAGCCTGAGTGGAGGGGGATGGGGGGGGGGGTCGGAACACAGGCTACTTTAAAATACTGAAGGTTTGTTGGACAGAGCTGAACAACGTCTGCGCATGTGTAGATACGGGAGAGGTCTGGGATCTAAACTAGTATCGTTTGCAAGAGGATTTTCAAAACATCCTCACATTTTGGCGATTTTTAAGGTGGATTCTAAATATTTAAGGTTCCCATTTAAACTAAAGGTAGCTTATTTCATACTTTATTTAATTCTAGTTTCTACCTTTGTAATTTTTCTTCTACTTTTTTCTATGAACAAAAGAAGACGCACGAAAGAAGCGTCCCTGCTTTAAATAGTATCACAGTTGCAAAAGGATTTTCAGAACATCCTCACATTTTCCCGATTTTTAAGGTGGTTTAATTTCCGAATATTCAAGATTCCCATTTAAACTAAAGGTAGATTATTTCATACGTTATTGAATTCCACCTTCGTAATTTTTCTTCCGTTTTTTGCTTTGAACAAAAGAAGATGCACGGACGAAGCCGAAAACGGTTCTTTCATATGTGTACATTTTCAAGCCTAAACAGAAATGAAAGTACAGACTATCAATATGTTATCAGTTGTAAGAAATCGTCCGGTCATCATATCAGTGTCAGTATTAAAGGTACATTTTATTTATCTTTGTTTTTCCTTGAATGATCGTCTTTTAGTTATTTCTCACTTGCTTTCACCATAAGAACTGTAAGAACACAGTTTCGAACTCAATTCTTTCTTCCAAACTTGTTTCCCTTTATGACTCATTCTTAGCTCAGCTCAAAAGAGCTATTATAAATTTTTGTATATGACAACAGGCAAAATTAATGTTGAATAGAGTAAATGGGTAAGTAATACGGTCGATGCCTGCTGGTAAAAGTACCAATGACTTGAAGTTCTCTAAAAAGCTTCATTACAGGGAGAAGCACAATCTGACTCTTTATGAACTTTCATTTATTTTTCTCTTCGAAGTCTAGATCATCATTCCTTGATTCTTCTGCTTCATTCAAGCCTGTCATAAATGGAAAAGTTATAGTTAATACGAAAACTGACATAGAGCTGAGCCAACTTGTGATTGTTTCTCAAAACTTCAACAGCTTTAAACTTTAAAAGTTGATTCATTAATAAGATTAAAGGTGCAAATTAAATTTTAAACAAACTTAACCGAATAAATACTGATTCTACAGCTCGACCAGCGCCTCTAAGCCGGCTAGAGCTATATGTACGAAAAAGCTTCTTTGATCGCACTAAAACTTAACTTGTAACTAAGTTTACGACTTTCATGACTTCTTGTGTCTGATGGTATCATCGCGCTCAAAGCCGGCTTTCTTGCCAACAAGAAACGGTCAACAACTGTTTTCGCTCGGCTGCTACATTACAAAGATTTGCTCCTCCTTAACCAGAATAAAGTAATGTTTAAGTTACTCGTTTACTTACCATCGAAGAAAAGTCGCCCAAACTCCAGCACATTGCTCTTTTTTAATTTCTCAGTCATCTTTCTGCAAACATACTGACGATCTGTATCAAAACAATGAAAACCTCGCAGGGACGGTCAAAAACATTTTCCTTGATCCCTAGATTACGTAATATTTCTTTCCATGAGTTGCATTTCTAACGTATTCGTAGAATTTCTCCTTCGTTGGCATTCTCAAATATGAGTTTAACAGATGGTTGAAGATAAAATGGTCTCAGATGCAAGAATTTCACTTTGCACGAGTACTTAGGGTACGGGCTAGACAAGTAAACAAGTGATGTCACGGACATGCGTAGTACGTTTTTCAGCCCTGTCGGTTTGTTGGGAAAAAAGACCCAAAATTTGTGCAAGATTTGATTGGAGCAGGTAGGAAGTTGGACCTAGCCTTGTACTTTAATTATGCATTTGGGTGCTCACTGAAAAAAAAAGTTATTGAATTTTACGGGCCCGAATGATAATTCTTAAAAGAAAACATAAAAAGGCCTTACTGAAACAAGTAGAAATCTTAACATTTCTTGAAAAGAGCTTTTGCTCCTAGAAGATCGGGTCAGTATAGGCATCGTACCTAGTAGATTTGCTTACTACATATTCTTAGTGCGCACTTCTTATAAATTAAAGTAACTCTGTCCTTTTAAGATTAGATTTGTAGGTCACATCCCCAAACTAGATTGCCATAATATATATACGGAAGGATCGCTAAATTATAGAAGGTACAAAGAGAGCGAGCAGAGAGAAAAAACCTAGATTTATGAATAATGGCCATAGATTTAGACATTTTAGTGGCTATTAAAGACATATGAGCTAGATTTCCAGGTTACATTGTCATCTAGAAGAACACCAAGAGCCATAGTGTCCACTTACTGAGTAAGACTATTTGTATCACCGACCGTGGTTCATAATGCCGGCAATACTGTGTTTCATTCACATTACTGAGTCATACTTACAAACGGAAGTAAAATGGCTTAGAAAAAAGAAATTAAAGAAATTAAAACTATTCTAAACCTAGAAATCCAGGACCACGGCATCCACATTGTTTGATGGTGTAGTTTGAGGAACACTCGAATGCACAGCCGTCCTTTGTGTATCTTTCAACTGCCGCCAGTTTCATTTGTCTGCAGTTCGTTTTGTAGGGTGAACGAAGTCTCTTGATCTAAGAAAAAGGTACAGTAATAGATCAGCTATTTCGCTCGTTTTGATTGGTGGTCGTCTTTCCTTTATGAGAGTTAATGATATATAAAGATCCACCTCACAGAGTTGTTCAGTATGTCGCACAGAACTGAACAGGTTTCAAACATTATACAAGAAAAGCCCGACTGAGTTAAAATTCGACAAAATCAGTTTAAATTTAATTTTGCGAAATGCTGAACAACGAATATTACCACGCAAAAATAATACTGAAGAGAATTTTTTTTCCGTTTCGGCCGTTTCGGTCTGAAAAAGGGTATAGATGTTGCCTACTGTGGTCTGGAATCAGGTACGGTTTTCGAGGGCGCTACGGGAGTTTGCGAACGTATTTGTCGTTTCCATTCCAAATAAATAAGAAAGAGTAATATGTCTAAACTAAGTAATGATGACATAATTTCTGCCTATGGATTTTAAAGGCCTGGTCTGAAAACGGGTGTAAAAAATTACATTTTTTGGTCTGAAATAGGGCGAGGATTTAGAGAACCGGGAGGTACAGCCCCATCAAGAATTCCAACGAGTACTCTCGGGTCATGATCAGTAACTCACCTTCGTAAGCTTGATCAAGGCAGACGCATGGGTGCCAGGTAAGACATTGAAGCCGTCATAGCGATTGATAAATGTATTTTGGTCGTGCACAATCACTTTCAAACCAGTAGAGAATTCGTTCAATGTGCTCTCGTTGGTTTGAACATCGAGTATAATGCTAAGACCAGAATCAGCACCTTCATAAGTTGTATGATGTAATGGAATGTCATTTAAACCCGAGTTAAAAGTAAAGCAGAGCCCTTCTTTAGTCAGGTGCGGAACAAAGTCCTTATGAGAACATCTGATTTTTGATTTGAAACGGCAATAGAGGACCAACATGCTACGCATTTCATGGCCATATCTGGTAAGAAATTCCTCTTCATTGTACAAACGTTCTGATGACCGATTCAGAACATTTATTATTTTCTGTTGAGTTGACCCATTGCAGCCTTTTACCAAAGCCGGTCCAAACCACCCATAGGCACACAAAAGAGCCTGGCCACAGGTGAGGTTTCCGCGAACACTACGAGTTTCACTGCATCCACTAATGTTTAATCCCATCTGATAAAACTTCTCATCATCATCAGCCACATCGATCTTAGATCGCATAAACCTGTTCAAATTACAAATGGTTACGGCAGGGAAGGTCAAGCCATTAGTCGGTGTTTCCAGTGAAAATACTGTCTTGATCGGCAAAGAAAAAAATTTTGTTAAGCTAATGACGGAAAGAAACATGAACAAGCTTGCAGCGGCGAAAAGAAACAGAAGCCAAATAGCTCGCTTCAAAGGAGAATGGTTTCTATGGACGACGTGTCTAAGTCCGTGGAGAGTTGTATTGGAAGCAAATTCTGTCCATTCGTGGGAGTCGCGATTCTCTGATTTCATTTTTTCGTTCGCGGAATTGGAGCCATCATCGATGGGCCTCACAACCACTTTCCTTACCATACCTGAAAATCAAACAATCAGAACAAATTAAATAGCAGCTATAAATAAATACGTTAAATAATTCAGTCGTTATCATGGTTATCTACGGGGTTTTTTCTTGTTTCTCATATCAATTTTTCAAAATTGTATTTGTACTGAAAATGATATTTCTGAGACTCATAGGGGTAAACGGAATCTGTTTGACTCTTTCAGAACTAGATATCTATACAACTACCTTTTTAGTGAACTATTTTTACTCCTGAAGGCTGAAACCACATTTTTATCTATTTATAACCAAAAACTTAAATCTATCCGTAAGAATCGCCTATGGGTTTTAACATCGTCTGCAGTTAAGAAGAGATAACCAATCGACTTAAGAAAGGATTCAATAAATGTTAAAGAAAGATTGGACATCAATTGGCCAAGGTTTCGGATAAAAAAAAGAACGTCACTTTGGCTGTTAATTTTTTTTCCAAGCCAGAGAAAAATTTCGAATGAGCCACGTTTCAGTCAATTTTCTTCCTATCTAAAAAGAAGCCTACCGATATCAGTCTATAAGATGCAAAACATGAAATGTAAGGTTTATGCAACACCCGTTTTGCGATCTGCTAAGAAAAATAAAAGTAAAAAAGAAAACGCGGACGAATTATTCGCCACTATCAGCAAAAGGAACAAACTTGTTGACTACATGTACATGTGCAGTTATGGTTTTTGGTTGAAATGTTAATCTTTTCTGTTAAGTAGCTTCGTGAAGATGCGTTAGCAAATTAACAAATGAAAAATTAAAACGTCGCCCGCAACAGTGATGGCATCTCTCAGAACCTACGTTAACTCAGAACAAAGACTGCTGTCACTTTTGAAATGTCTGCAACAGTCCGATTCAGTAACTGTTTGTAATCGATTACTTTACCTGAATTTCGCATAAAGCCGCTCGAACTTGCCGATAAGACACTAATGGATAGACTTCTCGACTGTCCCAGAAACATTCAAGGCAAAGTCTGACTGCGTAGGCAATTACTGTTTGATTTAAATAGTTTACATACCTTGGTATGTCGCCCGAAAGTTACTATTGTTAGAAAACAAGCGAGGAAGCAGTTCGTTAAGGTTCACAGTTGGTTGCTTGTCTGTTCAACTACCAAAACAGCTGCTTCATCATCTTGCCAAAAAAACCTGTTTATTTAATTATGAGCAATTTCATCAATTTTTGGGTTGATTTCAGTCTCATGATAATGATGCATTACCAAAGAGAAAAAACATAAATACAGAATATAAGAAGAAATATCGTTGTGTAATGTTATTGGATCACGTCAACGAAAAATAAAATAAAATTATGCGTTGCTTTCCTCAAAATACTGAGTTCGGTAATCCGTTATCCGATTGGTTTTTTATCATATCTCTTTATGATTATAAATATTTGTGCAATGTATATGAAAAATAAGGATAGAAACACATATAAACAGTGTGAAATTAATTAAGTCCATGCCAAGTTTGTTCAATTAATTTGGTAGAATTTGGCGTCAAGATCTAGTCCTCTATACTGTTTTGACGTCTAGTTTTATCAGTAGCCCGATATAGTTTTCGTGTATCCTTGGGATAACTATGCCCAAACAGACTGCAAAGAAAAAAGTGAGAGTTTCGTTGTACGATGATTCTTTTCCATATATTTCCAGGCGCGTAGGAGGAGGGGTTCGAGGGGTTCAAACGAACCCCCTTTCGGGTCAGTGATGGAGGACTGAAAACACAACTTGTTAATTTTCAGTTTTTAGCAAATAACGGAGGAATGGAAAACAAACTTTAAGTGTTTTAGCTCAGTTTAAATTACCCTGGGCGAGAGTAGGCCCTCCTCACTGGCTATCATACATATCAAGGACGATATGCCTATCGATCTGGACGAAGTTGTCAATTTATTTGAAGGCCCCTACCCGAAGATGATGCAATTGCAAAGTTTGCTTTACGAAGCGGAATGGTCCTATAGTGAGTTGATAATTAAGTAGCCCATGTTGTGGCAACAGTATATCCTAGTGACCTAGTATTATATGTAGTCAATTAAAATAATCCCACCATTGAAGATATTTCCTAATTAACAGGCGTTCCGGATTTGACAAATGGAGTCTTGAAAGACGAAAGGCGGGGAATACGATTTTTGGGGACCTTGCAGGTGATACGTGTTTAATACATATTGACGTTTGACGCTGCTTTCAGTACAAATACAACGGAGCCGAGGAATTGGGGGGCTTAAGCTTTTGCTCCGAGATACCTTGCAGCAAACGTCGAGTTTTGTAAAACGTTTCGTGTACTTAGCCGGTATGTATCACTATGCATGAATGTTCCAAGTCAAACGGAAATATTTTTGTAATCGTTACTAACCTTAGCCCTGTCAGTAACTTCATTTCCAGTTCTCTATTTTGTTCCCATTTTTCATTTCCCCCCTCCCCATGCTCGTTCTTTCTCCCCCATTCCCCGTTTAAGTAACATCAATGTTTGAAAGCGACTTGTATCTGATCAAAATTAGCCTAGTGGAAGGCAGGAGAAAAATATACAGAGAGAAGAAAAAAAAGAACAATGGAAGAACCGGGAGAGCGCTCGCTTCTTTTTACACTCGCGATCCACAGTCTGAAAGCCGAAACGAAGATTGACAGTTTGTTTCGAATTGATGACGTCATAAAGACACCAGCAATAGCTAATAGACCACTTTCGATGTATTAAGATTTAGCTTACTCCTAAAATGTCTTCTTGTTCCGGTAAAAGTCGAAATTTTGATTTCAATACAAGCAACAAGTCTGGAAAAAAGCTCCAGCAAACAGTAAAAACAGAAGGTTGTTGTCGGCTATTTTGAATTTGCAATTGCTCTTTTAAGACCGGGCCGGGTTTTTGACCTAATTGAATTCCAATACCCAGTCTTTATCGTCTACAAAATCGCAAATCCTTCAGATAAAAAAATCCACTGAAATTCACCAAAAAATTCTTAAAAAATTTCGGCTTTTTTTTGATAGCGAGGGCCCCTTTTGGTGAATAACCGCTGATAAGTTGTAGTATAGACGACTCTGATGAAAAGCCGCTGATTTGTTGTGCTCAGTAGACCGTGCTTTAGACACTGCTGTAGCATTTGAGCGGACTGAGCCCTCTCTTGGTCGGTAGGAATACAAAAAAAAAAAGTTTTTGTCAACATTTAGCCGTGAAATATTGCCAAAATGTCAGGTGAATGCTCAAATTGCTCTAAAATTCTCGAATTTGTCGATTTTCCCCCTAAAATTCCCGAGATTTTCCAAAATTCTTTTTGATGAGTAAAATTCCAAAAAAAAAAAAAAAAATTCTTTCCGGAATTATGTGCCTAAGCCTAAGGTGGGCGGATTATATGCTTCGTGTGGACAGGGGACCGATTCGTTTTTAAAAAAATTTCGCGGTTTCCTGAATATCCGGAATCCATCGTGTAGACGGGGCCTCTTGAGGATGGATTCATTTGCAGAATACGTGTTTAGCCGTCGCATTTGCTCACTAGAGTTTTTCGGGGTTGGGATATGCCACAAACGCCTTCAAACCCTTCGCTACCCTGTATTAGTCAAGAGACCTTTTTTATGACCCTAAATCGTTTTATTTCGCACTCAGAATTAAGTATTTTTCTTAAATTAATTAAGTAATAATTGCACAATAGAAATTAATCAATCGATTATTATTAGACCATTATTATTATTATTGTAGACCACGCAAAGCGAACGTTGACACCCTGTTCAATGCTTCCGTCAAGAAAAAAAAAACCGTTCCAGAGGTAAATTAATAGTAAAATTGTATGCCCGAAAACCACACTCTGTTCGGCGGCGAATACCCGTTCAGGCCAAATAAGGGAGAGCTCCTGGGACTCAGGCCGGTTCAGTAAACATGCGTCTGGTATTTTTTATTAACTGGCAACAAAGATAATGTACAACAACAGCAACAAAAACAGATAATCTTAATCTTACTGATAATCTTAAAAGTTTATTTTGCTACCTGTGGCTTGTTGAAAACTAGTCAGGGCGTGATGATTTAACAATCGTTGGGATAAAATATGATGTTCTTGTGATTATGTGTTGTCCATATTTCTAATTTCTATAGATCTACAGGTCGAACAATATTACTGACAACTTGAGTCAAAAATCGCTCGAAGAAACACTATTCTGTTGATTAGGGCGCCTTATTCGGGACTTAATTGATTCCCACAAAAAGTCGAAGAACTCGCAGATAGTCAGTACACTGCAGCCAAGAAGTAAGCCCATATTACCACCAAGTTCACCTGAAATTGTAGAAACAGACGCGATCATTTGTTGTTAAAGCTTCTTTTCCTTTGTTACGCGTTTTATTAATTTACAAGAATGAACAAGATAGAAACGACGTCTGTTCGCACACGCGTTAATAGCCTGTTACGTTCCAGGCGTTCACCAGCCCCTGCCCCCCCGCTGTGTTTTTCTGCTCTCTATTTTTTGCGCCGACCCCACTATCTGAATATGCCAGGAACAGGCTAGCACGTGAAATGGATCCACTGCCGGAAGTTAGTAATTTTAATTTTTAGTGTTGTGATGAAATGGAGATATAATAAGCTTCTCAGGACTGTGTATCAACATTTCGAAACTCTGAGTAAGCGGGTTATATGCATGCATACGAGGATCGGAGATACTTGCTAAAAAGCTAGGTCGTCAGTAAGCACGGAAATAAATCCTAGTCAATCAGAAGCGCAACAAGTTGTTACAATGGTGTTAGTACAGTCACAGTCTACGCCGAGTGGTAAGAGTAATTCTCGTCTTTGAGTGTCTGGTACTGATCTGACTAGGCATGCGAGGCCCTGCATGGCAGGTGTCGGTTCCTTTTTTCGGTTAGAACGCCAGGGAACCACGCCTCCTCTTTTGCCTCCGTTCGCGAGCGAAATTTCTCCCTCTGCTCCGTCCTCAAATAACCGGCGACTGCTACGAAGCCTAGTGCATTCAGACAGTCGTTGTGGTTCAACTATCGCAATGAACCTGTTCTGGATAAGAGAGAGTTTTTGTACTAAAACTGTGATTAACTATTTTTCATTAACTATTTTCATCCAAGGAGATTTTGGAGAGCTTCCAATTAACAAGTACATTTGCAAAGAGTAAAGACACTGCTCATTTCGAAATTAACGATAACAACAACCTTAAAAAACTCAAAATCGCGAAATAATTCTTTCTCGATACTTTACTCACCAAAGAGGCTCTCGGATTCATAGCTTGGAACATCTTCCCTCATTTCGTAGGACAGTCGTTGAAAACCCACTTGAAGAAACACATAGTTTTCCCTTAGAATGTGGAAAAAAAGATGAGTAAGTGGGTATTATGACTATATTTGGAACTGTCCGTTGCTATGATCTTATGGTCTCATAATCAGTGGGTTGATAATGGGCTGATAGTGGATGACGTTTTTGTGATATCTGGAATAATCACGGTTAGAAAGTGCTGATCAGACACTTACTGAGACCTTGATTATTCCGGATATCACAAAAACCGAATCTACTACGTAATTGTTTTATTACTCACTGTTTTAAACAAAATAAGGATAAACAGAGCATCGCATGGAAAACGGTTTGACATTGCTCTTGGAAATCATGCACTTTGCGAACAACCTACAGATTTTTCAGTAAGCTGCTAACAGATAACTAACTAAACTGTAGATTGCGCTGATTTCTAAAATTAACTGTAGGCTCTTAGCCAATGAAAGACAGATAGTGATTACAATTTATACTAATTGCTATAATTTGCATTTGATTTTGAAAGTGTCTGGACTGTGAGGACAATCTCGGAAGAGTGAAAAGCAGAAAGTCATAACTACAAGTCTGACTTACAAATACTGCAGTGGCTTTGAGAATTTTAACGCTAAATTTTCTTTATGCCATTTGAGGTTAAAATTTTGCTACTTCTTTCACCCTTCCTCTAATCGTAATACATAATTGGTAAAATGTTAAAATCATAAACACAATACTCCCTAAATCAATTTAGCTTTCTGGTAAACTGCCCACCTACCCCTCGCTTAAGCTAATATTAACACTTACTCCTTACTTTGGGCAAAAGGATGGCTTAGGGGAGGGGTAGGTGGGAAGTTTCCCAGTAACCTAAATTGATCCATGCCTTCTTATAAAGGTGCTTTTAATAACAACTTACTGCATATATTTGAGACTCTCTGTTTTATGAAAGTAATGATGGAAAATGGTAGCTATTGAAACATCCGGGAATTTGGAATAGGAAACACGTGGTTCGTATTCCAGTTCGGAGCATGCGTTGCTGCAGCTGGAACATGACGTTATATTAAACTGATCTGAAAATAAACAAGAGGTGTAATAGATCCCAAACTTTCTACAATTGATAACTAAAAATATAAGCTATATATTTTAGATATTTTATAGCTTTTAATATTTTAATCTATCTGACATTTTAACATTTTTAACCTGTAGCTTGCATAATTTAATAGGTTTTTAGTTCTTAACTTTTTACTTATTATTACTATTACGCATTCATTTATCTAAGATCATCTATTTTTTCTATTGTTTTACAGGGCCTCACTGAATACCACTCTTTGTGAAGTGAGCTTCCTGTATAAAGATTATTATTATTATTATTATTATTATTATTATTAGTAGTAGTAGTAGTAGTAGTAGTAGTAGTATTATAATGTATAGTACACTCTTCCTAATATCAAGAAATTTCACGGTTACTTTATGATTTGACATCTGAAAGTTTGTCTCAGCGCCAAGATGGCGTTACGGTTTTAAAATGTTGTGAATGAAGATGCTAGGGCATTAAAAGACGATTTAGAAAACTTAAAGACAGGAAAGAGATCTAACAGGTTTTTCGTCGAAAATTTAAGATAATTGTGAACTTATTAAGCCCAAATTGATACTGTAAAATTTTCAGTGTGTTGCCTAACTTATATCGTTCCCCCCCTCCCCCCTCAGAAGTAATAATAACGATTACGAGCGTAATTTGTCACCCATGATATTAATAGGTATAGTCAAGAAATGATCCCCTAATTTCACTCGTCATCTCTTGATTACACTTGGTGTTAGAAAATTGCTCCATCAACCATGATCGTAGAAGCAAATGTGGTCGCTAGTAGAATCCTTTGTTACACTGGCTCCGTTATCTCATATAAAGACAAAAACCGTATGCCCAAAAAAAGGATTACTGCTCTGTGGTAACGGTTTTAACTGAGAGCAAGAGAAGAAAAAAAGGGCAGAGAAGGCATTCCCTTTACACACCCTATTCCATAGGTAATTCTCTCGAGTTATTTTTAGAATCGGGATAAATTTACCTCGCACGCTGCGTGAATGTTTCGTTGATGTTTCGCATGACTAAACGCCGTGCAAAACATGTCGGGCGAAAGGCAATGAAAGCGTAAAGAGATTGAGAGCATTTCTGAATATTGAAGCGAAAGGAATCTGCGCTCACCGGGGAAAAGGGAATCGCTGGACGTTTTGACAACCCGTGAAATCACTTTAACTGGAAGTTGTCGTAACCTCTTTGCTTTAATAAAATGAGAAATTTCGCCGGTCTGTTGAAACCGGTCGTTTGTACAATAAAGCAAGTAGGACGCCAAGTGTTATTTTTGTTGAATAACAAAAGACTAATAAAAGAATAAATGTCAAACCAGAAGTTGCTCTCTTCAAAATGTAAATTATAAATGATCCTGAGAGAATATTCAGTGTGTCAAGGATTTCCCGGCTGTACTGTTAGTTCTGTACAAGACAGGAAGAGCGATTCTTTTTTAATTTCCGTTTCGCTGACACAGCCTTAGCAGAAGAAATCTCGCTTTAGTCGTTTTCGTCGACAAAACCAATAGCAATATCGTTCTCCGCGTCTTCCGCCATTTTTTTCAGCGTCAATTCGTGAAGGACGCGTGGCTCTGAGCGTGTGTCATCCACGCGGAACACATTCGCGCTATGTGATTGGCTGTCGTCTAATCCCCCTCGGGATCTGTGGTCTTAAAAATAACTCGAGACGAATTCCCTATGGAATAGGGTGTGTATGGGGGATGCCTTCTCTGTCCCCTTTATCCTCCCTTGCTGAGAGCCAATATCAAGATCTCAAAAGACAAGGTCATTGTAGAAAGGACACTAGCCACTTTCTTTATTCAAAAGAGACAGATGTCAATTTGTTTTGTATGCTTACTTTTTCCTTCTCCTTTGAGTAAAATTCCATTCAAATGAAACTTAAACTTGAAGATAGTGAAATTTAAACAAGCTTTCGCATTAAGGAACGACTTCTGTGACGTCACTCTGTCCTAATGAAATTTGCGAGAAGCTTAAAATGATTGGCCGATAAGTTTGGCATTGTCCAAATTTTTAGACGAGCGAGGCTAGATGAGAAAAAGTGCCACATTATTTTCGACCGCTTATAGACTTTTGCGCAATTTTGCTTTTCACAGAGTGACATCAATCATCAATTAACAGTTTTCAGTTTTCGATGGTAACATTCCGTAACGGAGAATTTGAGTCGGATGGGGATGGATTTTTAAGTCGCAGGAGAACGGTCAGTGACTATATGAACACCAATTGCATACCTAGAAAAAAGATGCTTTTTTCAGAAGTAAACAGTTCATTGCAGGTCGTTGGCCGGATTTTTATTATGAGGGCTATTTTTTATTTCGTCTTAGTTTATATAATGTGTGTTCGTTTGTTTACGTCAATCTCAGTTTTAGATTTTATACATGAAAGTCTCGTAGTTTTCCACAACAATTCAAACGACTGAAGGATTTATTAGTAACCAAGTGACATAGAATGAACTGTAGTTTTTACCCGTAGATCGCCTAACACAATCAGAGTCCCGAATCGAACACAGCGGTACCGTCTGTGGACCTTTAAAAAAAAATTCAATCAGATAAATTAGAGAAAACATCAAGAAAGTATCAGAGAGAGCTACTATGACGGAGATTCAAAAGATCTGCATGCTGGGATCGAATCCTCAGAAAGGTGCTTAGTGTGTGAACAGAATGATTGACTTGAGTGACTGACGCTCTAGGTGCATGGTTTGCGCCCGGCTGATGCACAAAAAGGACACCCGCAAAGACTGCGATAAAAGATAATAATAATAATAATAATAATAATAATAATAATAATAATAATAATAATAATAATAATAATAATAAAATAATAATAGGGGGGGTCTGAAAAACACAGGTACTTTAAAATACTGAAGGTTTGTTGGACAGAGCTGAACAACGTCTGCGCATGTGTAGAGAGGTCTGTGATCTAAACGAGTATCGTTTGCAAAAAGGATTTTCAAAACATCCTCACATTTTGGCGATTTTTAAGGCGGATTCTGAATATTTAAGGTTCCCATCTAAACTAAAGGTAGCTTATTTCATACTTTATTTAATTCTAGTTTCTACCTTTGTAATTTTTCTTCTACTTTTTCTATGAACAAAAGAAGACGCACGAAAAAAAAGCGTCCCTGCTTTAAATAGTATCGCAGTTGCAAAAGGATTTTCAGAACATCCTCACATTTTCCCGATTTTTAAGGTGGTTTAATTTCCGAATATTCAAGGTTCCCATTTAAACTAAAGGTAGATTATTTCATACTTTATTGAATTCCACCTTCGTAATTTTTCTTCCGTTTTTTGCTATGAACAAAAGAAGATGCACGGACGAAGCCGAAAACGGTTCTTTCATCCGAATGTGTACATTTTCAAGCCTAAACAGAAATGAAAGTACAGACTATCAATATGTTATCAGTTCTAAGAAATCGTTCGGTCATCATATCAGTGTCAGTATTAAAGGTACATTTTACTTATCTTTGTTTTTCCTTGAGTGATCGTCTCTTAGTTATTTCTCTTGTTATATCTCACTTGCTTTCACTATAAGAACTGTAAGAACACAGTTTCGAACTCAATTCTTTCTTCCAAACTTGTTTCCCTTTATGACTTATTCTTAGCTCAGCTCAAAAGAGCTATTATAAATTTTTGTATATGACAACAGGCAAAATTAATGTTGAAACAGGGGTAAATGGGTAAGTAATCCAGTCTGCCTGCTGGTAAAAAATATCAATGACTTGAAATTCTCTCAAAGCTTCATTGCAGGGAGAAGCACAATCTGACTCTTTAGAAACTGTCATTTATTTTTCTTGAAGCCTAGATCTTCATTCCTTGATTCTTCTGCTTCATTCAAACCTGTTATAAGTGAAAAACTTATAGTTAATACGAAAAACTCACACAGAGTAGAACCAACTTGTGATTGTTTCTCAAATCTTCACCAGCTTTAAACTTTAAAAGTTTATTCATTAATAAGCTTAAAGGTGCAAATTTACTTTTGACAAACTTAACCGAATAAATACTGATTCTACAGCCCGACCAGCGCCTCTAAGCCGGCTAGAGCTATATGTAAGAGAAAGCTTCTTTGATCGCACTAAAACTCGTAACTAAGTTTACGACTTTCATGACTTCTTGTGTCAGATGGTATCATCGGGCTCAAAGCCGGCTTTCTTGCCACCAAGAAACGGTCAACAACTGTTTTCACTCGGCTACATTACAAAGATTTGCTCCAGAATAAAGTAATGTTTAAATAAATCGTTTACGTACCATCGAAGAAAAGTCGCCCAAACTCCAGCACATTGCTCTTTTTTAATTTCTCAGTCATCTTTCTGCAAACTTACTGACGATCTGTATCAAGACAATGAAAAACCTCGCAGGGACGGTTAAAAACATTTTCCTTGATCCCTAGATTACGTAACATATCTTTCCATGAATTGCATTTCTAACGTATTCGTAGAATTTCTCCTTCGTTGGCATTCACAAATATGAGTTTAACACTTATGGTTGAAGATAAAATGGTCTCAGATGCAAGAATTTCACTTTGCACGAGTACTTAGCGCAAGGGCTAGACAAGTAAACAAGTGATGTCACGGACATGCGTAGTACGTTTTTCAGCCCTGTCGGTTTGTTGGGAAAAAAAACCCAAAATTTGTGCAAGATTTGATTGGAGCATTTAGGGAGTTGGACCTAACCTTGTACTTTAATTATGCATTTAGTTGCTCACTGAAAAAAAAAGTTATTGAATTTTAAGGGCCCGAATGATAATTCTTAAAAGAAAACATAAAAAGGCCTTTTTGAAACAAGTAGAAATCTTGACATTTCTTGAAAAGAGCTTTTGCTCCAGAAGATCGGGTCAGTATGGGCATCGTACCTAGTAGATTTGCTTACTAACATATTCTTAGTGCGCACTTCTTATAAATTAAAGTAACTCTGTCCTTTTAAGATTAGATTTGTAGGTCACATCCCCAAACTAGATTGCAATAATATATATACGGAAGGATCGTTGAATTATACAAGGTACAAAGAGAGCGAGCAGAGAGAAAAAACCTAGATTTATGAATAATGGCCATAGATTTAGACATTTTAGTGGCTATTAAACATATATGAGCTAGATTTCCAGGTTACATTGTCATCTAGAAGAACACCAAGAGCAATGGTGTCGACTTACTGAGTACGTAAGACTATTTGTATCACCGTAGTTCATAATGCCGGCAATACTGTGTTTCATTCAAATTACTGAGTCATACTTACAAACGGAAGTAAAATGGCTTAGAAAAAAGAAATTAAAGAAATTAAAACTATTCTAAACCTAGAAATCCAGGACCACGGCATCCACATTGTTTGATAGTGTAGTTTGAGGAACACTCGAATGCACAGCCGTCCTTTGTGTATCTTTCAACTGCCGCAAGTTTCATTTGTCTGCAGTTCGTTTTGTAGGGTGAAGGAAGTCTCTTGATCTAAGAAAAAGGTACAGTAATAGATCAGCTACTTCGCTCGTTTTGATTGGTGGTCGTCTTTCCTTTATGAGAGTTAATGATATATAAAGATCCACCTCACAGAATTGTTCAGTATGTCGCACAGAACTGAACAGGTTTCAAACATTATACCAGAAAAGCCCGACTGATTTAAAATTCGACAAAATCAGTTTAAATTTAATTTTGCGAAATGCTGAACAACGAATATTACCACGCAAAAATAATACTGAAGAGAATTTTTTTTCCGTTTCGGCCGTTTCGGTCTGAAAAAGGGTATAGATGTTGCCTACTGTGGTCTGGAATCAGGTACGGTTTTCGAGGGCGCTACGGGAGTTTGCGAACGTATTTGTCGTTTCCATTCCAAATAAATAAGAAAGAGTAATATGTCTAAACTAAGTAATGATGACATAATTTCTGCCTATAGATTTTAAAGGCCTGGTCTGAAAACGGGTGTAAAAAATTACATTTTTTGGTCTGAAATAGGGCGAGGATTTAGAGAACCGGGAGGTACAGCCCCATCAAGAATTCCAACGAGTACTCTCGGGTCATGATCAGTAACTCACCTTTGTAAGCTTGATCAAGGCAGACGCATGGGTGCCAGGTAAGACATTGAAGCCGTCATAGCGATTGATAAATGTATTTTGTTCGTGCACAATCACTTTCAAACCAGTAGAGAATTCGTTCAATGTGCTCTCGTTGGTTTGAACATCGAGTATAATGCTAAGACCAGAATCAGCACCTTCATAAGTTGTATGATGCATTGGAACGTCATTTAAACCCGAGTTGAAAGTGAAGCAGAGCCCTTCTTTAGTCAGGTGCGGAACAAAGTCCTTATCAGAACATCTGATTTTTGATTTGAAACGGCAGTATAGGATCAACATGCTACGCATTTCATGGCCATATCTGGTAAGAAATTCCTCTTCATTGTACAAACGTTCTGATGACCGATTCAGAACATTTATTATTTTCTGTTGAGTTGACCCATTGCAGCCTTTTACCAAAGCCGGTCCATACCACCCATAGGCACACAAAAGAGCCTGGCCACATGTGAGGTTTCCGCGAACACTACGAGTTTCACTGCATCCACTAATGTTTAATCCCATCGGATAAAACTTCTCATCATCATCAGCCACATCGATCTTAGATCGCATAAACATGTTCAAATTACAAATGGTTACGGCAGGGAAGGTCAAGCCATTAGTCGGTGTTTCCAGTGCAAATACTGTCTTGATCGGCAAAGAAAAAAATTTTCTTAAGCTGATGATGGAAAGAAACATGAACAAGCTTGCAGCTGCGAAAAGAAACAGAAGCCAAATAGCTCGCTTCAAAGGAGAATGGTTTCTATGGACGACGTGTCTAAGTCCGTGGAGAGTTGTACTGGAAGCAAATTCTGTCCATTCGTGAGAGTCGCGATTCTCTGATTTCATTTTTTCGAGCGCGGAATTGGAGCCATCATCGATGGGCCTCACAGCCACTTTCCTTACCATACCTGAAAATCAAACAATCAGAACAAATTAAATAGCAGCTATAAATAAATACGTTAAATAATTCAGTCGTTATCATGGTTATCTACGGGGTGTTTTCTTGTTTCTCATATCAATTTTTCAAAATTGTATTTGTACTGAAAATGATATTTCTGAGACTCATAGGGGTAAAGGAATCTGTTTGACTCTTTCAGAACTAGATATCTATACAACTACGTTTTTAGAAAACTATTTTTCCTCCTGATGGCTGAAACCACATTTTTATCGATTTTATAACCTAAAAGCTAAATCTATCCGTAAGAATCGCCTATGGGTTTTAACATCGTCTGCAGTTAAGAGGAGATAACCAATCAACTTATGAGAGGATTCAATAAATGTTAAAGAAAGATTGGACATCAAATGTCCAAGGTTTCGGATAAAAAAGAACATCACTTTGGCTGTTAATTTTTTTTTCCAAGCCAGAGAAAAATTTCGAATGAGCCACGTTTCAGTCAATTTTCTTCCTATCTAAAAAGAAGCCTACTGATATCAGTCTATAAGATGCAAGGCATGAAATGTAAGGTTTATGCAACACCCGTTTTGCGATCTGCTAAGAAAAATAAAAGTAAAAAAAGAAAACACGGACGAATTATTCGCCACTATCAGCAAAAGGAACAAACTTGTTGACTACATGTACATGTGCAGTTATGGTTTTTGGTTGAAATGTTATTCTTTTCTGTTACGTAGCTTCGTGAAGATGCGTTAGCAAATTGACAAATAAAAAATTAAAACCTTGCCCGCAATAGTGATCTCATCTCTCAGAACCTACGCTAACTCAGAGCAAAGACTGCTGTCACTTCAGTAACTGTTTGTAATCGATTACTTTACCTGAATTTCGCATAAAGCCGCCCGAGCTTACTGATAAGACACTAATGGATAGACTTCTCGACTGTCCCAGAAACATTCAAGGCAAAGTCTGACTGCGTAGGCAATTACTGTTTGATTTAAATAGTTGACATATCTTGGTATGTCGCCCCAAAGTTACGATTGTTAGAAAGCCAGCGAGGAAGCAGTTCGTTTAATAAGGTTCACAGTTGGTTGCTTGTCTGTTCAACTACCAAAACAGCTGCTTCATCACCTTGCTAAAAAACCTGTTAATTTAATTATCAGCAATTTCATCAATTTTGGGGTTGATTTCAGTCTCATGATAATGATGCATTATCAAAGAGAAAAAAACATAAAAACAGAATAGAAGAAGAAATATCGTTGTGTAATGTTATTGGATCACGTCAACGGAAAACAAAATAAAATTATTTGTTGCTTTCCTCAAAATACTGAGTTCGGTAATCCGTTATCCGATTGGTTTTTTATCATATCTCTTTATGATCATAAATATTTGTGCAATGTATAAGAAAAATAAGGATAGAAACACATATAAACAGTGTGAAATTAATTAAGTCCATGCCAAGTTTGTTCAATTAATTTGGTGGAATTTGGCGTCAAGATCTAGTCCTCTATACTGTATTGACGTCTAGTTTAATCAGTAGCCCGATATAGTTTTTGTGTATCCTTAGGATCAGTCAACCTTTCGAAAAATGTGACCCCACCCAAACAGACTGCAAAGAAAAAAGTGAGAGTTTCGTTGTACGATGATTCTTTTCCATATATTTCCAGGCGCGTAGGAGGAGGGGTTCGAGGGGTTCAAACGAACCCCCTTTCGGGTCAATGATGGAGGACTAAAAACACAACTTGTTAATTTTCAGTTTTTAGCAAATAGTGGAGGAATGGAAAACAAACTTTAAGTGTTTTAGCTCAGTTTAAATTACCCTGGGCGAGAGTAGGCCCTCCTCACTGGCTATCATACATATCAAGGACGATATGCCTATCGATCTGGACGAAGTTGTCAATTTATTTGAAGGCCTCTACCCGAAGATGATGCAATTGCAAAGTTTGCTTTACGAAGCGGAATGGTCCTGTAGTGAGTTGATAATTAAGTAGCCCATGTTGTGGCAACAGTATATCCTAGTGACCTAGTATTATATGTAGTCAATTAAAATAATCCCACCATTGAAGATATTTCCTTAACAGGCGTTCCGGATTTGACAAATGGAGTCTTGAAAGACGAAAGGCGGGGAATACGATTTTTGGGGACCTTGCATGTGATACGTCTTTAATACATATTGACGTTTGACGCTGCTTTCAGTACAAATACAACGGAGCCGAGGAATTGGGGGGCTTAAGCTTTTGCTCCGAGATACCTTGCAGCAAACGTCGAGTTTTGTAAAACGTTTCGTGTACTTAGCCGGTATGTATCACTATGCATGAATGTTCCAAGTCAAACGGAAATATTGTTGTAATTGTTTCTAACCTTAGCCCTGTCAGTAACTTCATTTCCAGTTCTCTGCTTTGTTCCCATTTTTTCATTTCCCCCCTCCCCATGCTCGTTCTTTCTCCCCCATTCCCCGTTTAAGTAACATCAATGTTTGAAAGCGACTTGTATCTGATCAAAATTAGCCAGTTTCAGGCTTTCAGATAGTGGAACGCAGGAGAAAAATATACAGAGAGAAGAAAAAAAGAACAATGGAAGAACCGGGAGAGCGCTCGCTTCTTTTTACACTCGCGATCCACAATCTGAAAGCCGAAACGAAGATTGACAGTTTGATTCGAATTGATGACGTCACAAAGACACCAGCAATAGCTAATAGACCACTTTCGATGTATTAAGATTTAGCGTACTCCTAAAATGTCTTCTTGTTCCGGTAAAAGTCGAAATTTTGATTTCAATGCAAGGAACAAGACTGGAAAAAGCTCCAGCAAACAGTAAAAACAGAAGGTTGTTGTCCGCTATTTTGAATTTGCAATTGCTCTTTTAAGACCGGGCCGGGTTTTTGACCTAATTGAATTCCAAAATACCCAGTCTTTATCGTCTACAAAATCGCAAATCCTTGAGATAAAAAAATCCAATGAAATTCACCAAAAAATTCTCAAAAAATTTCGGCTTTTTTTTGATAGCGAGGGCCCCTTTTGGTGAATAACCGCTGATAAGTTGTAGTATAGACGACTCTGATGAAACGCCGCTGATTTGTTGTGCTCAGTAGACCGTGCTTTAGACACTGCTGTAGCATTTGAGCGGACTGAGCCCTCTCTTGGTCGGTAGGAATACAAAAAAAAAAAAGTTTTGTCAACATTGAGCCGTGGAATATTGCCAAAATGTCAGGTGAATGCTCAAATTGCTCTAAAATTCTCGAATTTGTCGATTTCCCCCCTAAAATTCCCGAGATTTTCCAAAATTCTTTTTGATGAGTAAAATTCCAAAAAAAAAAAAAATTCTTTCCGGAATTATGTGCCTAAGCCTAAGGTGTGTTTCGTGTGGACAGGGGACCGATTCGTTTTTAAAAAAATTTCGCGGTTTTCTGAATATCCGGAATCCATCGTGTAGATGGGGCCTCTTGAGGATGGATTCATTTGCAGAATACGTGTTTAGCCGTCGCATTTGCTCACTAGAGTTTTTCGGGGTTGGGATATGCCACAAACGCCTTCAAACCCTTCGCTACCCTGTATTAGTCAAGAGACCTTTTTTATGACCCTAAATCATTTTATTTCGCACTCAGAATTAAGTATTTTTCTTAAATTAATTAAGTAATAATTGCACAATAGAAATTAATCAATCGATTATTATTAGACTATTATTATTATTATTATTGTAGACCACGCAAAGCGAACGTTGACACCCTGTTCAGTGCTTCCGTCAAGAAAAAAAAAAACCCGTTCCAGACGTAAATTAATAGTAAAATTGTATGCCCGAAAACCATACTCTGTTCGGCGGCGAATACCCCTTCAGGCCAAATAAGGGAGAGCTCCTGGGACTCAGGCCGGTTCAGTAAACATGCGTCTGGTATTTTTTATCGACTGGCAACAAAGATAATGTACAAAAACAGATAATCTTAATCTTACTGATAATCTTAAAAGTTTATTTTGCTACCTGTGGCTTGTTGAAAACTAGTCAGGGCGTGATGATTTAACAATCGTTGGGATAAAATATGATGTTCTTGTGATTATGTGTTGTCCATATTTCTAATTTCTATAGATCTACAGGTCGAACAATATTACTGACAACTTGAGTCAAAAATCGCTCGAAGAAACATTATTCTGTTCATTAGGGCGCCTTATTCGGGACTTAATTGATTCCCACAAAAAGTCGAAGAACTCGCAGATAGTCAGTACACTGCAGCCAAGAAGTAAGCCCATATTACCACCAAGTTCACCTGAAATTGTAGAAACAGACGCGATCATTTGTTGTTAAAGCTTCTTTTCCTTTGTTATGGGTTTTATTAATTTACAAGAATGAACAAGATAGAAACGACGTCTGTTCGCACACGCGTTAATAGCCTGTTACGTTCCAGGCGTTCACCAGCCCCTGCCCCCCCCCCCGGTGTGTTTTTCTGCTCACTATTTTTTGCGCCGTCCCCACTATCTGAATATGCCAGGATTAGGCTAGCAAGTGAAATGAATCCACTGCCGGAAGTTAGTAATTTTAATTTTTAGTGTTGTGATGAAATGGAGATATAATAAGTTTCTCAGGACTGTGTATCAACATTTCGAAACTCTGAGTGAGCGGGTTATATGCATGCATACGAGGATCGGAGATACTTGCTAAAAAGCTAGGTCGTCAGTAAGCACGGAAATAAATCCTAGTCAATCAGAAGCGCAACAAGTTGTTACATTGGTGTTAGTACAGTCACAGTCTACGCCGAGTGGTAAGAGTAATTCTCGTCTTTGAGTGTCTGGTACTGATCTGACTAGGCATGCGAAGCCCTGCATGGCAGGTGTCGGTTCCTTTTTTCGGTTAGAACGCCAGGGAACCACGCCTCCTCTTTTGCCTCCGTTCGCACGCGAAATTTCTCCCTCTGCTCCGTCCTCAAATAACCGGCGCCTGCTACGAAGCCTAGTGCATGCAGGTAGTCGTTGCGGTTCAACTATCGCAATGAACCTGTTCTGGATAAGAGAGAGTTTTTGTGCTAAAACTGTGATTAACTATTTTTCATTAACTATTTTCATCCAAGAAGATTTTGGAGAGCTTCCAATTAACAAGTACATTTGAAAAGAGTAAAGACACTGCTCATTTCGAAATTAACGATAAAAACGGCCTTAAAAAACTCAAAATCGAGAAATAATTCTTTCTCGATACTTTACTCACCAAAGAGGCTCTCGGATTCATAGCTTGGAACATCTTCCCTCATTTCGTAGGACATTCGTTGAAAACCCACTTGAAGAAACACATAGTTTTCCCTTAGAATGTGGAAAAAAAGATGAGTAAGTGGGTATTATGACTATATTTGGAACTGTCCGTTGCTATGATCTTATGGTCTCATAATCAGTGGGTTGATAGTGGGCTGATAGTGGATGAAGTTTTTGTGATATCTGGAATAATCAAGGTTAGAAAGTGCTGATCAGACACTTACTGAGACCTTGATTATTCCGGATATCACAAAAACCGAATCTAATACGTAATTGTTTTATTACTCACTGTTTCAAACAAAACAAGGATAAACAGAGCATCGCATGGAAAACGGTTTGACATTGCTCTTGGAAATCATGCACTTTGCGAACAACCTACAGATTTTTCAGTAAGCTGCTAACAGATAACTAACTAAACTGTAGATTGCGCTGATTTCTAAAATTAACTGTAGGCTCTCAGCCAATAAAAAGACAGATAGTGATTACAATTTATACCTAATGCTATAATTTGCATTTGATTTTTAAAGTGTCGGGAATGTGAGGACAATCTCGGGAGAGTGAAAAGCAGAAAGCCATAACTACAAGTCTGACTTACAAATACTGCAGTGGCTTTGAGAATTTTAACGCTTAATTTTGTTTATGCCATTTGAGGTTAAAATTTTGCTACTTCTTTCACCCTTCCTCTAATCGTAATACATAATTGGTAAAATGTTAAAATCATAAACACAATACTCCCTAAATCAATTTAGCTTTCTGGTAAACTGCCCACCTACTCCTCGCCTAAGCTAACATTAACACTTACTCCTTACTTTGGGCGAAAGGATGGCTTAGAGGAGGGGTAGGTGGGAAGTTTCCCAGTAACCTAAATTGATCCATGGCTTCTTATAAAGGTGCTTTTAATAACAACTTACTGCATATATTTGAGACTCTCTGTTTTATGAAAGTAATGATGGAAAATGGTAGCTATTGAAACATCCGGGAATTTGGAATAGGAAACACGTGGTTCGTATTCCAGTTCGGAGCATGCGTTGCTGCAGCTTGAACATGACGTTATATTAAACTGATCTGAAAATAAACAAGAGGTATAATAGATCCCAAACTTTCTACAATTGATAACTAAAAATATAAGCTATATATTTTAGATATTTTATAGCTTTTAATATTTTAATCTATCTGACATTTTAACATTTTTAACCTGTAGCTTGCATAATTTAATAGGTTTTTAGTTCTTAACTTTTTACTTATAATTACTATTACGCATTCATTTATCTAAGATCATCTATTTTTTCTATTGTTTTACAGGGCCTCACTGAATATCACTCTTTGTGAAGTGAGCTTCCTGTATAAAGACAATTATTATTATTATTATTATTATTATTAGTATTATAATGTATAATGCACTCTTCCTAATGTCATAAAATTTTCAGTGTGTTGCCTAACTTATATCGTTCCCCCCCTCCCCCCTCAGAAGTAATAATAACGATTACGAGCGTAATTTGTCACCCATGATATTAATAGGTATAGTCAAGAAATGATCCCCTAATTTCACTCGTCATCTTTGATTACACTTGGTGTTAGAAAATTGCTCCATCAACCATGATCGTAGAAGCAAATGTGGTCGCTAGTAGAATCCTTTGTTACCCTGGCTCCGTTATCTCATATAAAGACAAAAACCGTTTTCCCAAAAAAAGGATTACTGCTCTGTGGTAACGGTTTTAACTGAGAGCAAGAGAAGAAAAAAAGGACAGAGAAGGCATTCCCTTTACACACCCTATTCCATAGGTAATTCTCTCGAGTTATTTTTAGAATCGGGATAAATTTACCTCGCACGCTGCGTGAATGTTTCGTGGATGTTTCGCATGACTAAACGCCGCGCAAAACATGTCGGGCGAAAGGCAATGAAAGCGTAAAGAGATTGAGAGCATTTCTGAATATTGAAGCGAAAGGAATCTGCGCTCACCGGGGAAAAGGGAATCGCTGGACGTTTTGACAACCCGTGAAATCACTTTAACTGGAAGTTGTCGTAACCTCTTTGCTTTAATAAAATGAGAAATTTTGCCGGTCTGTTGAAACCGGTCGTTTGTACAATAAAGCAAGTAGGACGCCAAGTGTTATTTTTGTTGAATAACAAAAGACTAATAAAAGAATAAATATCAAACCAGAAGTTGCTCTCTTCAAAATGTAAATTATAAATGATCCTGAGAGAATATTCAGTGTGTCAAGGATTTCCCGGCTGTACTGTTAGTTCTGTACAAGACAGGAAGAGCGATTCTTTTTTAATTTCCGTTTCGCTGACACAGCCTTAGCAGAAGAAATCTCGCTTTAGTCGTTTTCGTCGACAAAACGAATAGCAATATCGTTCTCCTAGTCTTCCGCCATTTTTTTCAGCGTCAATTCGTGAAGGACGCGTGGCTCTGAGCGTGGGTCATCCACGCGGAACACATTCGCGCTATGTGATTGGCTGTTGTCTAATCCCCCTAGGGATCTGTGGTCTTAAAAGTAACTCGAGACGAATTACCTATGGAATAGGGTGTGTATGGGGGATGCCTTCTCTGTCCCCTTTATCCTCCCTTGCTGAGAGCCAATATCAAGATCTCAAAAGACAAGGTCATTGTAGAAAGAACACTAGCCACTTTCTTTATTCAAAAGAGACAGATGTCAATTTGTTTTGTATGCTTACTATTTCCTTCGCCTTTGAGTAAAATTCCTTTCAAACGAAACTTAAACTTGAAGATAGTGAAATTTAAACAAGCTTTCGCATTAAGGAACGACTTCTGTGACGTCACTCTGTCCTAATGAAATCTGCGAGAAGCTTAATATGATTGGCCGATAAGTTTGGCATTGTCCAAATTTTTAGACGAGCGAGACTAGAGGAGAAAAAGTGCCAGATTATTTTCGACCGCTTATAGATTTTTGCGCAATTTTGCTTTTGACAGAGTGACATCAATCATCAATTAACGGTTTTCAGTTTTCGATGGTAACATTCCGTAACGGAGAATTTGAGTCGGATGGGGATGGATTTTTAAGTCCCAGGAGAACGGTCAGTGACTATATGAACACCAATTGCATACCTAGAAAAAAAGATGCTTTTTCAGAAGTAAACAGTTCATTGCAGGTCGTTGGCCGGATTTTTATTATGAGGGCTATTTTTTATTTTGTCTTAGTTTATATAATGTGTGTTCGTTTGTTTACGTCAATCTCAGTTTTAGATTTTATACATGAAAGTCTCGTAGTTTTCCACAACAATTCAAACGACTGAAGGATTTATTAGTAACCAAGTGACATAGAATGAACTGTAGTTTTTACCCGTAGATCGCCTAACACAATCAGAGTCCCGAATCGAACACAGCGGTACCGTCTGTGGACCTTTAAAAAAAACAATTCAATCAGATAAATTAGAGAAAACATCAAGAAAGTATCAGAGAGAGCTACTATGACGGAGATTCAAAAGATCTGCATGCTGGGATCGAATCCTCAGAAAGGTGCTTAGTGTATGAACAGAATGATTGACTTGAGTGACTGACGCTCTAGGTGCATGGTTTGCGCCCGGCTGATGCACAAAAAGGACACCCGCAAAGACTGCGATAAAAGAGATAATAATAATAATAATAATAATAATAATAATAATAATAATAATAATAATAATAATAATAATAATAATAAGGAGGGGGGGTCTGAACACAGGCTACTTTAAAATACTGAAGGTTTGTTGGACAGAGCTGAACAACGTCTGCGCATGTGTAGAGAGGTCTGGGATCTAAACGAGTATCGTTTGCAAAAGGATTTTCAAAACATCCTCACATTTTGGCGATTTTTAAGGTGGATTCTGAATATTTAAGGTTCCCATTTAAACTGAAGGTAGCTTATTTCATAATTTATTTCATTCTAGTTTCTACCTTTGTAATTTTTCTTCTACTTTTTTCTATGAACAAAAGAAGACGCACGAAAGAAGCGTCCCTGCTTTAAATAGTATCGCAGTTGCAAAAGGATTTTCAGAACATCCTCACATTTTCCCGATTTTTAAGGTGGTTTAATTTCCGAATATTCAAGGTTCCCATTTAAACTAAAGGTAGATTATTTCATACTTTATTGAATTCCACCTTCGTAATTTTTCTTCCGTTTTTTGCTATGAACAAAAGAAGATGCACGGACGAAGCCGAAAACGGTTCTTTCATCCGAATGTGTACATTTTCAAGCCTAAACAGAAATGAAAGTACAGACTATCAATATGTTATCAGTTCTAAGAAATCGTTCGGTCATCATATCAGTGTCAGTATTAAAGGTACATTTTACTTATCTTTGTTTTTCCTTGAATGATCGTCTCTTAGTTATTTCTCTTGTTATATCTCACTTGCTTTCACTATAAGAACTGTAAGAACACAGTTTCGAACTCAATTCTTTCTTCCAAACTTGTTTCCCTTTATGACTTATTCTTAGCTCAGCTCAAAAGAGCTATTATAAAGTTTTGTATATGACAACAGGCAAAATTAATGTTGAAAAGAGTAAATGGGTAAGTAATACGGTCGATGCCTACTGGTAAAAGTACCAATGACTTGAAGTTCTCTAAAAAGCTTCATTACGGGGAGAAGAACAATCTGACTCTTTATAAACTTTCATTTATTTTTCTGTTCGAAGTCTAGATCTTCATTCCTTGATTCTTCTGCTTCATTCACACCTGTCATAAATGGAAAAGTTATAGTTAATACGGAAACTCACATAGAGCTGAGCCAACTTGTGATTTTTTCTCAAAACTTCAACAGCTTTAAACCTTAAAAGTTTATTCATTAATAAGATTAAAGGTGCAATTTAAATTTTAAACAAACTTAACCGAGTAAATACTGATTCTACAGCTCGACCGGCGCCTCTAAGCCGGCTAGAGCTATATGTACGAAAAAGCTTCTTTGATCGCACTAAAACTTAACTTGTAACTAAGTTTACGACTTTCATGACTTCTTGTGTCTGATGTTATCATCGCGCTCAAAGCCGGCTTTCTTGCCACCAAGAAACGGTCAACAACTGTTTTCGCTCGGCTACATTACAAAGATTTGCTCCTCCTTAACTAGAATAAAGTAATGTTTAAGTAAATCGTTTACTTACCATCGAAGAAAAGTCGCCCAAACTCCAGCACATTGCTCTTTTTTAATTTCTCAGTCATCTTTCTGCAAACTTACTGACGATCTGTATCAAAACAATGAAAACCTCGCAGGGACGGTCAAAAACATTTTCCTTGATCCCTCGATTACGTAATATTTCTTTCCATGAGTTGCATTTCTAACGTATTCGTAGAATTTCTCCTTTGTTGGCATTCACAAATATGAGTTTAACACTTATGGTTGAAGATAAAATGGTCTCAGATGCAAGAATTTCACTTTGCACGAGTACTTAGCGCAAGGGCTAGACAAGTAAACAAGTGATGTCACGGACATGCGTAGTACGTTTTTCAGCCCTGTCGGTTTGTTGGGAAAAAAAACCCAAAATTTGTGCAAGATTTGATTGGAGCATTTAGGGAGTTGGACCTAACCTTGTACTTTAATTATGCATTTAGTTGCTCACTGAAAAAAAAAGTTATTGAATTTTACGGGCCCGAATGATAATTCTTAAAAGAAAACATAAAAAGGCCTTATTGAAACAAGTAGAAATCTTGACATTTCTTGAAAAGAGCTTTTGCTCCAGAAGATCGGGTCAGTATGGGCATCGTACCTAGTAGATTTGCTTACTACATATTCTTAGTGCGCACTTCTTATAAATTAAAGTAACTCTGTCCTTTTAAGATTAGATTTGTAGGTCACATCCCCAAACTAGATTGCAATAATATATATACGGAAGGATCGTTGAATTATACAAGGTACAAAGAGAGCGAGCAGAGAGAAAAAACCTAGATTTATGAATAATGGCCATAGATTTAGACATTTTAGTGGCTATTAAACATATATGAGCTAGATTTCCAGGTTACATTGTCATCTAGAAGAACACCAAGAGCAATGGTGTCGACTTACTGAGTACGTAAGACTATTTGTATCACCGTAGTTCATAATGCCGGCAATACTGTGTTTCATTCAAATTACTGAGTCATACTTACAAACGGAAGTAAAATGGCTTAGAAAAAAGAAATTAAAGAAATTAAAACTATTCTAAACCTAGAAATCCAGGACCACGGCATCCACATTGTTTGATGGTGTAGTTTGAGGAACACTCGAATGCACAGCCGTCCTTTGTGTATCTTTCAACTGCCGCAAGTTTCATTTGTCTGCAGTTCGTTTTGTAGGGTGAAGGAAGTCTCTTGATCTAAGAAAAAGGTACAGTAATATATCAGCTACTTCGCTCGTTTTTATTGGTGGTCGTCTTTCCTTTATGAGAGTTAATGATATATAAAGATCCACCTCACAGAGTTGTTCAGTATGTCGCACAGAACTGAACAGGTTTCAAACATTATACCAGAAAAGCCCGACTGATTTAAAATTCGACAAAATCAGTTTAAATTTAATTTTGCGAAATGCTGAACAACGAATTTTACCACGCAAAAATAATACTGAAGAGAATTTTTTTTCCGTTTCGGCCGTTTCGGTCTGAAAAAGGGTATAGATGTTGCCTACTGTGGTCTGGAATCAGGTACGGTTTTCGAGGGCGCTACGGGAGTGTGCGAACGTATTTGTCGTTTCCATTCCAAATAAATAAGAAAGAGTAATATGTCTAAACTAAGTAATGATGACATAATTTCTGCCTATGGATTTTAAATGAAGGCCTGGTCTGAAAATGGGTGTAAAATATTACATTTTTTTTGGTCTGAAATAGGGCGAGGATTTAGAGAACCAGGAGGTACAGCCCCATCAAGAATTTCAACGAGTACTCTCGGGTCATGATCAGTAACTCACCTTTGTAAGCTTGATCAAGGCAGACGCATGGGTGCCAGGTAAGACATTGAAGCCGTCATAGCGATTGATGAATGTATTTTGTTCGTGCACTATCACTTTCAAACCAGTAGAGAATTCGTTCAATGTGCTCTCGTTGGTTTGAACATCGAGTATAATGCTAAGACCAGAATCAGCACCTTCATAAGTTGTATGATGCAATGGAATGTCATTTAAACCCGAGTTGAAAGTGAAGCAGAGCCCTTCTTTAGTCAGGTGCGGAACAAAGTCCTTATCAGAACATCTGATTTTTGATTTGAAACGGCAGTATAGGATCAACATGCTACGCATTTCATGGCCATATCTGGTAAAAAATTCCTCTTCATTGTACAAACGTTCTGATGACCGATTCAGAACATCTATTATTTTCTGTTGAGTTGACCCATTGCAGCCTTTTACCAAAGCCGGTCCAAACCACCCATAGGCACACAAAAGAGCCTGGCCACAGGTGAGGTTTCCGCGAACACTACGAGTTTCATTGCATCCACTAATGTTTAATCCCATCTGATAAAACCTCTCATCATCATCAGCCACATCAATCTTAGATCGCATAAACATGTTCAAATTACAAATGGTTACGGCAGGGAAGGTCAAGCCATTAGTTGGTGTTTCCAGTGAAAATACTGTCTTGATCGGCAAAGAAAAAAATTTTTTGAAGCTGATGACGGAAAGAAACATGAATAAGCTTGCAGCGGCGAAAAGAAACAGAAGCCAAATAGCTCGCTTCAAAGGAGAATGGTTTCCATGGACGACGTGTCTAAGTCCGTGGAGAGTTGTATTGGAAGCAAATTCTGTCCATTCGTGGGAGTCGCGATTCTCTGATTTCATCTCTTCGTTCGCGGAATTGGAGCCATCATCGATGGGCCTCACAACCACTTTCCTTACCATACCTGAAAATCAAACAATCAGAACAAATTAAATAGCAGCTATAAATAAATACGTTAAATAATTCAGTCGTTATCATGGTTATCTACGGGGTGTTTTCTTGTTTCTCATATCAATTTTTCAAAATTGTATTTGTACTGAAAATGATATTTCTGAGACTCATAGGGGTAAACGGAATCTGTTTGACTCTTTCAGAACTAGATATCTATACAACTACCTTTTTAGTGAACTATTTTTACTCCTGAAGGCTGAAACCACATTTTTATCGATTTATAACCAAAAAGTTAAATCTATCCGTAAGAATCGCCTATGGGTTTTAACATCGTCTGTAGTTAAGAAGAGATAACCAATCAACTTAAGAAAGGATTCAATAAATGTTAAAGAAAGATTGGACATCAAATGGCCAAGGTTTCGGATAAAAAAAAAGAACGTCACTTTGGCTGTTAATTTTTTTTCCAAGCCAGAGAAAAATTTCGAATGAGCCACGTTTCAGTCAATTTTCTTCCTATCTAAAAAGAAGCCTACCGATATCAGTCTATAAGATGCAAAACATGAAATGTAAGGTTTATGCAACACCCGTTTTGCGATCTGCTAAGAAAAATAAAAGTAAAAAAGAAAACGCGGACGAATTATTCACCGCTATCAGCAAAAGGAACAAACTTGTTGACTACATGTACATGTGCAGTTATGGTTTTTGGTTGAAATGTTAATCTTTTTTGTTAAGTAGCTTCGTGAAGATGCGTTAGCAAATTAACAAATAAAAAATTAAAACGTCGCCCGCAACAGTGATGGCATCTCTCAGAACCTACGCTAACCCAGAACAAAGACTGCTGTCACTTTTGAAATGTCTGCAACAGTCCGATTCAGTAACTGTTTGTAATCGATTACTTTACCTGAATTTCGCATAAAGCCGCCCGAACTTACCGATAAGACACTAATGGATAGACTTCTCGACTGTCCCAGAAACATTCAAGGCAAAGTCTGACTGCGTAGGCAATTACTGTTTGATTTAAATAGTTTACATACCTTGGTAAGTCGCCCAAAAGTTACTATTGTTAGAAAACAAGCGAGGAAGCAGTTCGTTAAGGTTCACAGTTGGTTGCTTGTCTGTTCAACTACCAAAACAGCTGCTTCATCATCTTGCCAAAAAAACCTGTTAATTTAATTATGAGCAATTTCATCAATTTTGGGGTTGATTTCAGTCTCATGATAATGATCATAGTTAATAGAGGGAATGGTTATGAAACCCGACAAAGTTCTTTGTTGTATGTTTTTGTTCTCTTTTTTGGCCTTGACCCTGCACAAAACACAATAGTTGTTTACTTCGTACTGAGGAACTAACCAATAGAAACGTACTGGTTACGTAATTCATGCATAACGTATGAACGCAAAACAAAAGATTGTGAAGGGTCGTGGACCTTCTAACATAAATCTTGGCATCTTTGTTTTCTCATTTGATGTTTGCCGGGCTTCATAACCAGTCACCTCCATTAACTATGTAATGATGCATTACCAAAGAGAAAAAACATAAATACAGAATATAAGAAGAAATATCGTTGTGTAATGTTATTGGATCACGTCAACGAAAAATAAAATAAAATTATGCGTTGCTTTCCTCAAAATACTGAGTTCGGTAATCCGTTATCCGAGTGGTTTTTTATCATATCTCTTTATGATCATAAATATTTGTGCGATGTATACGAAAAATAAGGATAGAAACACATATAAACAGTGTGAAATTAATCAAGTCCATGCCAAGTTTGTTCAATTAATTTGGTGGAATTTGGCGTCAAGATCTAGTCCTCTATACTGTATTGACGTCTAGTTTAATCAGTAGCCTGATATAGTTTTTGTGTATCCTTAGGATCAGTCAACCTTTCGAAAAATGTGACCCCACCCAAACAGACTGCAAAGAAAAAAGTGAGAGTTTCGTTGTACGATGATTCTTTTCCATATATTTCCAGGCGCGTAGGAGGAGGGGTTCGAGGGGTTCAAACGAACCCCCTTTCGGGTCAATGATGGAGGACTAAAAACACAACTTGTTAATTTTCGGTTTTCAGCAAATAGTGGAGGAATGGAAAACAAATTTTAAGTGTTTTAGCTCAGTTTAAATTACCCTGGGCGAGAGTAGGCTCTCCTCACTGGCTATCATACATATCAAGGACGATATGCCTATCGATCTGGACGAAGTTGTCAATTTATTTGAAGGCCCCTACCCGAAGATGATGCAATTGCAAAGTTTGCTTTACGAAGCGGAATGGTCCTGTAGTGAGTTGATAATTAAGTAGCCCATGTTGTGGCAACAGTATATCCTAGTGACCTAGTATTATATGTAGTCAATTAAAATAATCCCACCATTGAAGATATTTCCTTAACAGGCGTTCCGGATTTGACAAATGGAGTCTTGAAAGACGAAAGGCGGGGAATACGATTTTTGGGGACCTTGCATGTGATACGTCTTTAATACATATTGACGTTTGACGCTGCTTTCAGTACAAATACAACGGAGCCGAGGAATTGGGGGGCTTAAGCTTTTGCTCCGAGATACCTTGCAGCAAACGTCGAGTTTTGTAAAACGATTCGTGTACTTAGCCGGTATGTATGACTATGCATGAATGTTCCAAGTCAAACGGAAATATTGTTGTTGTTACTAACCTTAGCCCTATCAGTAACTTCTTTTCCAGGTCTCTGCTTTGTTCCCATTTTTCATTCCCCACCCCCCTCCCCATGCTCGTTCTTTCTCCCCCATTCCCCGTTTAAGTGATCAATATTAGCCAGTTTCAGGCTTTCAGATAGTGGAACGCAGGCGAAAAAATATACAGAGAGAAGAAAAAAAAGAACAATGGAAGAAGCGGGAGAGCACTCGCTTCTTTTTACACTCGCGATCCACAATCTGAAAGCCGAAACTAAGATTGACAGTTTGTTTCGAATTGATGACGTCACAAAGACACCAGCAATAGCTAATAGACTACTTTCGATGTATTAAGATTTAGCTTACTCCTAAAATGTCTTCTTGTTGCCGTAAAAGTCGAAATTTTGATTTCAATGCAAGCAACAAGACTGGAAAAAAGCTCCAGCAAACAATAAAAACAGAAGGTTGTTGTCCGCTATTTTGAATTTGCAATTGCTCTTTTAAGACCGGGCCAGGTTTTTGACCTAATTGAATTCCAAAATACCCAGTCTTTATCGTCTACAAAATCGCAAATCCTTGAGATAAAAAAATCCACTGAAATTCACCAAAAAATTCTTAAAAAATTTCGGCTTTTTTTGATAGCGAGGGCCCCTTTTGGTGAATAACCGCTGATAAGTTGTAGTGTAGACGACTCTGATGAAAAGCCGCTGATTTGTTGTGCTCAGTAGACGGTGCTTTAGACACTGCTGTAGCATTTAAGCGGACTGAGCCCTCTCTTGGTCGGTAGGAATACAAAAAAAAAAGGTTTTGTCAACATTTAGCCGTGAAATATTGCCAAAATGTCAGGTGAATGCTCAAATTGCTCTAAAATTCTCGAATTTGTCGATTTCCCCCCTAAAATTCCCGAGATTTTCCAAAATTCTTTTTGATGAGTAAAATTCCAAAAAAAAAAAAATTCTTTCCGGAATTATGTGCCTAAGCCTAAGGTGGGCGGATTCTATGTTTCGTGTGGACAGGGGACCGATTCGTTTTTAAAAAAATTTCGCGGTTTTCTGAATATCCGGAATCCATCGTGTAGATGGGGCCTCTTGAGGATGGATTCATTTGCAGAATACGTGTTTAGCCGTCGCATTTGCTCACTAGAGTTTTTCGGGGTTGGGATATGCCACAAACGCCTTCAAACCCTTCGCTACCCTGTATTAGTCAAGAGACCTTTTTTATGACCCTAAATCATTTTATTTCGCACTCAGAATTAAGTATTTTTCTTAAATTAATTAAGTAATAATTGCACAATAGAAATTAATCAATCGATTATTATTAGACCATTATTATTATTATTGTACACCACGCAAAGCGAACGTTGACACCCTGTTCAGTGCTTCCGTCAAGAAAAAAAAACTCGTTCAAGACGTAAATTAATAGTTTAATTGTATGCCCGAAAACCATACTCTGTTCGGCGGCGAATACCCGTTCAGGCCAAATAAGGGAGAACCCCTGGGACTCAGGCCGGTTCAGTAAATATTCGTCTGGTATTTTTTATCAACTGGCAACAAAGATAATGTAGAACAACAGCAACAAAAACAGATAATCTTAATCTTACTGATAATCTTAAAAGTTTATTTTGCTACCTGTGGCTTGTTGAAAACTAGTCAGGGCGTGATGATTTAACAATCGTTGGGATAAAATATGATGTTCTTGTGATTATGTGTTGTCCATATTTCTAATTTCTATAGATCTACAGGTCGAACAATATTACTGACAACTTGAGTCAAAAATCGCTCGAAGAAACACTATTCTGTTGATTAGGGCGCCTTATTCGGGACTTAATTGATTCCCACAAAAAGTCGAAGAACTCGCAGATAGTCAGTACACTGCAGCCAAGAAGTAAGCCCATATTACCACCAAGTTCACCTGAAATTGTAGAAACAGACGCGATCATTTGTTGTTAAAGTTTCTTTTCCTTTGTTATGGGTTTTATTAATTTACAAGAATGAACAAGATAGAAACGACGTCTGTTCGCACACGCGTTAATAGCCTGTTACGTTCCAGGCGTTCACCAGCCCCTGCCCCCCCTCCGCGGTGTTTTTCTGCTCACTATTTTTTGCGCCGTCCCCACTATCTGAATATGCCTGGAACAGGCTAGCACGTGAAATGAATCCACTGCCGGAAGTTAGTAATTTTCATTTTTAGTGTTGTGATGAAATGGAGATATAATAAGCTTCTCAGGACTGTGTATCAACATTTCGAAACTCTGAGTAAGCGGGTTATATGCATGCAGACGAGGATCGGAGATACTTGCTAAAAAGCTAGGTCGTCAGTAAGCACGGAAATAAATCCTAGTCAATCAGAAGCGCTACAAGTTGTTACACTGGTGTTAGTACAGTCACAGTCTACGACGAGTGGTAAGAGTAATTCTCGTCTTTGAGTGTCTGGTATTGATCTGACTAGGCATGCGAAGCCCTGCATGGCAGGTGTCGGTTCCTTTTTTTGGTTAGAACGCCAGGGAACCACGCCTCCTCTTTTGCTACGAAGCCTAGTGCATGCAGATAGTCGTTGTGGTTCAACTATTGCAATGAACCTGTTCTGGATAAGAGAGAGTTTTTGTACTAAAACTGTGATTAACTATTTTTCATTAACTATTTTCATCCAAGGAGATTTTGGAGAGCTTCCAATTAACAAGTACATTTGAAAAGAGTAAAGACACTGCTCATTTCGAAATTAACGATAAAAACGGCCTTAAAAAACTCAAAATCGAGAAATAATTCTTTCTCGATACTTTACTCACCTAAGAGGCTCTCGGATCCATAGCTTGGAACATCTTCCCTCATTTCGTAGGACAGTCGTTGAAAACCCACTTGAAGAAACACATAGTTTTCCCTTAGAATGTGGAAAAAAAGATGAGTAAGTGGGTATTATGACTATATTTGGAACTGTCCGTTGCTATGATCTTATGGTCTCATAATCAGTGGGTTGATAGTGGGCTGATAGTGGATGAAGTTCTTGTGACATCTGGAATAATCAAGGTTAGAAAGTGCTGATCAGACACTTACTGAGACCTTGATTATTCGGGATATCACAAAAACCGAATCTACTACGTAATTGTTTTATTACTCACTGTTTTAAACAAAATAAGGATAAACACAGCATCGCATGGAAAACGGTTTGACATTGCTCTTGGAAATCATGCACTTTGCGAACAACCTACAGATTTTTCAGTAAGCTGCTAACAGATAACTAACTAAACTGTAGATTGCGCTGATTTCTAAAATTAACTGTAGGTTCTTAGCCAATGAAAAGACAGATCGTGATTACAATTTATACTAATTGCTATAATTTGCATTTGATTTTTAAAGTGTCGGGACTGTATGGACAATATCGGGAGAGTGAAAAGCAGAAAGTCATAACTACAAGTCTGAGTTACAAATACTGCAGTGGCTTTGAGAATTTTAACGCTTAATTTATTTTATGCCATTTGAGGTTAAAATTTTGCTACTTCTTTCACCCTTCCTCTAATCGTAATACATAATTGGTAAAATGTTAAAATCATAAACACAATACTCCCTAAATCAATTTAGTTTTCTGGTAAACTGCCCACCTACTCCTCGCCTAAGCTAACATTAACACTTACTCCTTACTTTGGGCAAAAGGATGGCTTAGGGGAGGGGTAGGTGGGAAGTTTCCAAGTAACCTAAATTGATCCATGGCTTCTTATAAAGGTGCTTTTAATTACAACTTACTGCATATATTTGAGACTCTCTGTTTTATGAAAGTAATGATGGAAAATGGTAGCTATTGAAACATCCGGGAATTTGGAATAGGAAACACGTGGTTCGTATTCCAGTTCGGAGCATGCGTTGCTGCAGCTGGAACATGACGTTATATTAAACTGATCTGAAAAGAAACAAGAGGTGTATTAGATCCCAAACTTTCTACAACTGATAACTAAAAATATAAGCTATATATTTTAGATATTTTATAGCTTTTAATATTTTAATCTATCTGACATTTTAACATTTTTAACCTGTAGCTTGCGTAATTTAGTAGGTTTTTAGTTCTTAACTTTTTACTTATTATTACTATTACGCATTCATTTATCTAAGATCATCTATTTTTTCTATTGTTTTACAGGGCCTCACTGAATATCACTCTTTGTGAAGTGAGCTTCCTGTATAAAGATTATTATTATTATTATTATTAATAGTAGTATTATAATGTATAGTACACTCTTCCTAATATCATGAGTGACAAATGGCTCTTTAATTATGGCAAGAAATTTCACTGTTAATTTATAATTTGACATCTGAAAGTTTGTCTCAGTGCCAAGATGGCGTTACGGTTTTAAAATGTTGTGAATGAAGATGCTAGGGCATTAAAAGACGATTTAGAAAACTTAAAGACAGGAAAGAGATCTAACAGGGTTTTCGTCGAAAATTTAAGATAATTGTGAACCTATTAAGCCCAAATTGATGCTCTAAAATTTTCAGTTTGTTGCCTAACTTATATCGCTCCCCCCCCCCCCTCTCAGAAGTAATAATAACGATTACGAGCGTAATTTGTCACCCATGATATTAATAGGTATAGTCAAGAAATGATCCCCTAATTTCACTCGTCATCTTTTGATTACACTTGAAAGCAGTACAGTAAGTGTTAACAACAGCCATAATCATGGCTTTTGGTGTTAGAAAATTGCTCCATCAACCATGATCGTAGAAGCAAATGTGGTCGCTAGTAGAATCCTTTGTTACACTGGCTCAGTTATCTCATATAAAGACAAAAACCGTTTTCCCCAAAAAAGGATTACTGCTCTGTGGTCACGGTTTTAAATGAGAGCAAGAGAGGAAAAAAAGGACAGAGAAGGCCGATTCCCCATACACACCCTATTACATATGTAATTCTCTCGAGTTATTTTTAGAATCGGGATAAAGTTACCTCGCGGGCTTTGTGGATGTTTCGTGAAGGTTTCGCATGACTAAACGCCGTGCAAAACACGTCGGGCGAAAGGCAATGAAAGCGTAAAGAGATTGAGAGCATTTCTGAATTTTGAAGAGAAAGGAATCGGCGCCCACCTGGGAAAAGGGAATCGCTGGACTTTTTGACAACCCGTGAAATCAGTTTAACTGGAAGTTGTCGTAACCTCTTTGCTTTAATAAAATGAGAAATTTCGCCGGTCTATTGAAACCGGTCGTTTGTACAATAAAGCAAGTAGGACGCTAAGTGTTATTTTTGTTGAATAATAAAAGACTAATAAAAGAATAAATATCAAGCCAGGAATTGCTCTCTTCAAACTGTAAATTATAAATGATCCTGAGAGAATATTCAGTGTGTCAAGGATTTCCCTGCTGTACTGTTAGCTCTATACAAGACAGGAAGAGCGATTCTTTTTTAATTTCCGTTTCGCTGACACAGCTTTAGCAGCAGAAATCTCGCTTTAGTCGTTTTCGTCGACAAAACCAATAGCAATATCGTTCTCCGCGTCTTCCGCCATTTTTTTCAGCGTCAATTCGTGAAGGACGCGTGGCTCTGAGCGTGTGTCATCCACGCGGAACACATTCGCGCTATGTGATTGGCTGTCGTCTAATCCCCCTCGGGATCTGTGGTCTTACAAATAACTCGAGACGAATTCCCTATGGAATAGGGTGTGTATGGGGGATGCCTTCTCTGTCCCCTTTATCCTCCCTTGCTGAGAGCCAATATCAAGATCTCAAAAGACAAGGTCATTGTAGAAAGGACACTAGCCACTTTCTTTATTCAAAAGAGACAGATGTCAATTTGTTTTGTATGCTTACTATTTCCTTCGCCTTTGAGTCAAATTCCTTTCAAACGAAACTTAAACTTGAAGATAGTGAAATTTAAACAAGCTTTCGCATTAAGGAACGACTTCTGTGACGTCACTCTGTCGTAATGAAATCTGCGAGAAGCTTAAAATGATTGGCCGATAAGTTTGGCATTGTCCAAATTTTTAGACGAGCGAGGCTAGAGGAGAAAAAGTGCCAGATTATTTTCGACTACTTATAGACTTTTGCGAAATTTTGCTTTTGACAGAGTGACATCAATCATCAATTAACGGTTTTCAGTTTTCGATGGTAACATTCCGTAACGGAGAATTTGAGTCGGATGGGGATGGATTTTTAAGTCCCAGGAGAACGGTCAGTGACTATATGAACACCAATTGCATACCTAGAAAAAAGATGCTTTTTTCAGAAATATACAGTTCATTGCAGGTCGTTGACCGGATTTTTATTATGAGGGCTATTTTTTATTTTGTCTTAGTTTATATAATGTGTGTTCGTTTGTTTACGTCAATCTCAGTTTTAGATTTTATACATGAAAGTCTCGTAGTTTTCCACAACAATTCAAACGACTGAAGGATTTATTAGTAACCAAGTGACATAGAATGAACTGTAGTTTTTACCCGTAGATCGCCTAACACAATAAGAGTCCCGAATCGAACACAGCGGTACCGTCTGTGGACCTTTAAAAAAAAACAATTCAATCAGATAAATTAGAGAAAACATCAAGAAAGTATCAGAGAGAGCTACTATGACAGAGATTCAAAAGATCTGCATGCTGGGATCGAATCCTCAGAAAGGTGCTTAGTGTGTGAACAGAATGATTGACTTGAGTGACTGACGCTCTAGGTGCATGGTTTGCGCCCGGCTGATGCACAAAAAGGACACCCGCAAAGACTGCGATAAAAGAGATAATAATAATAATAATAATAATAATAATAATAATAATAATAATAATAATAATAATAATAATAATAATAATAACGTCTGTTGATAAAATATATAGGAGAAAAAAAAATTATGCGTGGTAAAAAAAAAAAAACAAAAAAAAAAAAAAAAAAAAAACCATGCTAACTTATCTGAACACAGGCTACTTTAAAATACTGAAGGTTTGTTGGACAGAGCTGAACAACGTCTGCGCATGTGTAGAGAGGTCTGGGATCTAAACGAGTATCGTTTGCAAAAGGATTTTCAAAACATCCCCACATTTTGGCGATTTTTAAGGCGGATTCTGAATATTTAAGGTTCCCATCTAAACTAAAGGTAGCTTATTTCATACTTTATTTAATTCTAGTTTCTACCTTTGTAATTTTTCTTCTACTTTTTTCTATGAACAAAAGAAGACGCAGGAAAGAAGCGTCCCTGCTTTAAATAGTATCGCAGTTGCAAAAGGATTTTCAGAACATCCTCACATTTTCCCGATTTTTAAGGTGGTTTAATTTCCGAATATTCATGGTTCCCATTTAAACTAAAGGTAGATTATTTCATACTTTATTGAATTCCACCTTCGTAATTTTTCTTCCGTTTTTTGCTATGAACAAAAGAAGATTCACGGACGAAGCCGAAAACGGTTCTTTCATCCGAATGTGTACATTTTCAAGCCTAAACAGAAATGAAAGTACAGACTATCAATATGTTATCAGTTGTAAGAAATCGTCCGGTCATCATATCAGTGTCAGTATTAAAGGTACATTTTATTTATCTTTGTTTTTCCTTGAATGATCGTCTCTTAGTTATTTCTCTTGTTATATCTCACTTGCTTTCACTATAAGAACTGTAAGAACACAGTTTCGAACTCAATTCTTTCTTCCAAACTTGTTTCCCTTTATGACTTATTCTTAGCTCAGCTCAAAAGAGCTATTATAAATTTTTGTATATGACAACAGGCAAAATTAATGTTGAAAAGAGTAAATGGGTAAGTAATACGGTCGATGCCTGCTGGTAAAAGTACCAATGACTTGAAGTTCTCTAAAAAGCTTCATTACGGGGAGAAGAACAATCTGACTCTTTATAAACTTTCATTTATTTTTCTGTTCGAAGTCTAGATCTTCATTCCTTGATTCTTCTGCTTCATTCACACCTGTCATAAATGGAAAAGTTATAGTTAATACGAAAACTGACATAGAGCTGAGCCAACTTGTGATTGTTTCTCAAAACTTCAACAGCTTTAAACCTTAAAAGTTTATTCATTAATAAGATTAAAGGTGAAAATTAAATTTTAAACAAACTTAACGGAATAAATACTGATTCTACAGCTCGACCAGCGCCTCTAAGCCGGCTAGAGCTATATGTACGAAAAAGCTTCTTTGATCGCACTAAAACTTAACTTGTAACTAAGTTTACGACTTTCATGACTTCTTGTGTCTGATGGTATCATCGCGCTCAAAGCCGGCTTTCTTGCCACCAAGAAACGGTCAACAACTGTTTTCGCTCGGCTACATTACAAAGATTTGCTCCTCCTTAACTAGAATAAAGTAATGTTTAAGTAAATCGTTTACTTACCATCGAAGAAAAGTCGCCCAAACTCCAGCACATTGCTCTTTTTTAATTTCTCAGTCATCTTTCTGCAAACTTACTGACGATCTGTATCAAAACAATGAAAACCTCGCAGGGACGGTCAAAAACATTTTCCTTGATCCCTAGATTACGTAATATTTCTTTCCATGAGTTGCATTTCTAACGTATTCGTAGAATTTCTCCTTTGTTGGCATTCACAAATATGAGTTTAACACTTATGGTTGAAGATAAAATGGTCTCAGATGCAAGAATTTCACTTTGCACGAGTACTTAGCGCAAGGGCTAGACAAGTAAACAAGTGATGTCACGGACATGCGTAGTACGTTTTTCAGCCCTGTCGGTTTGTTGGGAAAAAAACCCTAAAATTTGTGCAAGATTTGATTGGAGCATTTAGGGAGTTGGACCTAACCTTGTACTTTAATTATACATTTAGTTGCTCACTGAAAAAAAAAGTTATTGAATTTTACGGGCCCGAATGATAATTCTTAAAAGAAAACATAAAAAGGCCTTACTGAAACAAGTAGAAATCTGGACATTTCTTGAAAAGAGCTTTTGCTCCAGAAGATCGGGTCAGTATGGGCATCGTACCTAGTAGATTTGCTTACTACATATTCTTAGTGCGCACTTCTTATAAATTAAAGTAACTCTGTCCTTTTAAGATTAGATTTGTAGGTCACATCCCCAAACTAGATTGCAATAATATATATACGGAAGGATCGTTGAATTATACAAGGTACAAAGAGAGCGAGCAGAGAGAAAAAACCTAGATTTATGAATAATGGCCATAGATTTAGACATTTTAGTGGCTATTAAAGTTATATGAGCTAGATTTCCAGGTTACATTGTCATCTAGAAGAACACCAAGAGCAATGGTGTCGACTTACTGAGTACGTAAGACTATTTGTATCACCGTAGTTCATAATGCCGGCAATACTGTGTTTCATTCAAATTACTGAGTCATACTTACAAACGGAAGTAAAATGGCTTAGAAAAAAGAAATTAAAGAAATTAAAACTATTCTAAACCTAGAAATCCAGGACCACGGCATCCACATTGTTTGATGGTGTAGTTTGAGGAACACTCGAATGCACAGCCGTCCTTTGTGTATCTTTCAACTGCCGCAAGTTTCATTTGTCTGCAGTTCGTTTTGTAGGGTGAAGGAAGTCTCTTGATCTAAGAAAAAGGTACAGTAATATATCAGCTATTTCGCTCGTTTTGATTGGTGGTCGTCTTTCCTTTATGAGAGTTAATGATATATAAAGATCCACCTCACAGAGTTGTTCAGTATGTCGCACAGAACTGAACAGGTTTCAAACATTATATCAGAAAAGCCCGACTGATTTAAAATTCGACAAAATCAGTTTAAATTTAATTTTGCGAAATGCTGAACAACGAATATTACCACGCAAAAATAATGCTAAAGAGAATTTTTTTCCGTTTCGGTCTGAAAAAGGGTATAGATGTTGCCTACTGTGGTCTGGAATCAGGTACGGTTTTCGAGGGAGCTATACGGGAGTGTGCGAACGTATTTGTCGTTTCCATTCCAAATAAATAAGAAAGAGTAATATGTCTAAACTAAGTAATGATGACATAATTTCTACCTATGGATTTTAAAGGCCTGGTCTGAAAACGGGTGTAAAAAATTACATTTTTTTGGTCTGAAATAGGGCGAGGATTTAGAGAAGCGGGAGGTACATCCCCATCAAGAATTCCAACAAGTACTCTCGGGTCATGATCAGTAACTCACCTTTGTAAGCTTGATCAAGGCAGACGCATGGGTGCCAGGTAAGACATTGAAGCCGTCATAGCGATTAATAAATGTATTTTGTTCGTGCACAATCACTTTCAAACCAGTAGAGAATTCGTTCAATGTGCTCTCGTTGGTTTGAACATCGAGTATAATGCTAAGACCAGAATCAGCACCTTCATAAGTTGTATGATGCAATGGAATGTCATTTAAACCCGAGTTGAAAGTGAAGCAGAGCCCTTCTTTAGTCAGGTGCGGAACAAAGTCCTTATCAGAACATTTGAGTTTTGATTTGAAACGGCAGTATAGGATCAACATGCTACGCATTTCATGGCCATATCTGGTAAGAAATTCCTCGTCACTGTACAAACGTTCTGATGACCGATTCAGAACATCTATTATTTTCTTTTGAGTTGACCCATTGCAGCCTTTTACCAAAGCCGGTCCAAACCACCCATAGGCACACAAAAGAGCCTGGCCACATGTGAGGTTTCCGCGAACACTACGAGTTTCACTGCATCCACTAATGTTTAATCCCATCTGATAAAACTTCTCATCATCATCAGCCACATCGATCTTAGATCGCATAAACGTGTTCAAATTACAAATGGTTACGGCAGGGAAGGTCAAGCCATTAGTCGGTGTTTCCAGTGAAAATACTGTCTTGATCGGCAAAGAAAAAAAATTTTTTAAAGCTGATGACCGAAAGAAACATAAACAAGCTTGCAGCGGCGAAAAGAAACAGAAGCCAAATAGCTCGCCTCAAAGGAGAATGGTTTCTATGGAAGACGTGTCTAAGTCCGTGGAGAGTTGTATTGGAAGCAAATTCTGTCCATTCGTGGGAGTCGCGATTCTCTGATTTCATTTTTCGTTCGCGGAATTGGAGCCATCATCGATGGGCCTCACAACCACTTTCCGTACCATACCTGAAAATCAAACAATCAGAACAGATTAAATAGCAGCTATAAATAAATACGTTAAATAATTCAGTCGTTATCATGGTTATCTACGGGGTGTTTTCTTGTTTCTCATATCAATTTTTCAAAATTGTATTTGTACTGAAAATGATATTTCTGAGACTCATAGGGGTAAACGGAATCTGTTTGACTCTTTCAGAACTAGATATCTATACAACTACGTTTTTAGTGAACTATTTTTACTCCTGAAGGCTGAAACCACATTTTTATCGATTTATAACCAAAAAGTTAAATCTATCCGTAAGAATCGCCTATGGGTTTTAACATCGTCTGTAGTTAAGAAGAGATAACCAATCAACTTAAGAAAGGATTCAATAAATGTTAAAGAAAGATTGCACATCAATTGGCCAAGGTTTCGGATAAAAAAAAAGAACGTCACTTTGGCTGTTAATTTTTTTTCCAAGCCAGAGAAAAATTTCGAATGAGCCACGTTTCAGTCAATTTTCTTCCTATCTAAAAAGAAGCCTACCGATATCAGTCTATAAGATGCAAAACATGAAATGTAAGGTTTATGCAACATCCGTTTTGCGATCTGCTAAGAAAAATAAAAAAAAAAAAAAGAAAACGCGGACGAATTATTCGCCACTATCAGCAAAAGGAACAAACTTGTTGACTACATGTACATGTGCAGTTATGGTTTTTGGTTGAAATGTTAATCTTTTCTGTTAAGTAGCTTCGTGAAGATGCGTTAGCAAATTAACAAATAAAAAATTAAAACGTTGCCCGCAACAGTGATGGCATCTCTCAGAACCTACACTAACTCAGAACAAAGACTGCTGTCACTTTTGAAATGTCTGCAACAGTCCCATTCAGTAACTGTTTGTAATCGATTACTTTACCTGAATTTCGGATAAAGCCGCCCGAACTTACCAATAAGACACTAATGGATAGACTTCTCGACTGTCCCAGAAACATTCAAGGCAAAGTCTGACTGCGTAGGCAATTACTGTTTGATTTAAATAGTTTACATACCTTGGTATGTCGCCCGAAAGTTACTATTGTTAGAAAACAAGCGAGGAAGCAGTTCGTTAAGGTTCACAGTTGGTTGCTTGTCTGTTCAACTACTGCAAAACAAAAAACCTGTTAATTTAATTATGCTTCATCATCTTTTGCCTCAAAAATAGAGGGAATGGTTATGAAACCCGACAAAGTTCCTTTTGTATTTTTTGTTCTCTTTTTGGCCTTGAATTATGAGCAATTTCATCAATTTTGGGGGTCGTGGACCTGATTTTGTTTTCAGTCTCATGATAATGATGCATTACCAAAGAGAGAAACATAAAAACAGAATATAAGAAGAAATATCGTTGTGAAATGTTATTGGATCACGTCAACGAAAAATAAAATAAAATTATGCGTTGCTTTTCTCAAAATACTGAGTTCGGTAATCCGTTATCCGATTGGTTTTTTATCATATCTCTTTATGATCATAAATATTTGTGCAATGTATACGAAAAATAAGGATAGAAACACATATAAACAGTGTGAAATTAATTAAGTCCATGCCAATTTTTTTCAGTTAATTTGGTGGAATTTGGCGTCAAGATCTAGTCCTCTATACTGTATTGACGTCTAGTTTTATCAGTATCCCGATATAGTTTTCGTGTATCCTTAGGATCAGTCAACCTTTCGAAAAAATGCCCCCACAAACAGACTGCAAAGAAAAAAAAGTGAGAGTTTCGTTGTACGATGATTCTTTTCCATATATTTCCAGGCGCGTAGGAGGAGGGGTTCGAGGGGTTCAAACGAACCCCCTTTCGGGTCAATGATGGAGGACTGAAAACACAACTTGTTAATTTTCAGTTTTTAGCAAATAGTGGAGGAATGGAAAACAAACTTTAAGTGTTTTAGCTCAGTTTAAATTACCCTGGGCGAGAGTAGGCCCTCCTCACTGGCTATCATACATATCAAGGACGATATGCCTATCGATCTGGACGAAGTTGTCAGTTTATTTGAAGGCCCCTACCCGAAGATGATGCAATTGCAAAGTTTGCTTTACGAAGCGGAATGGTCCTGTAGTGAGTTGATAATTAAGTAGCCCATGTTGTGGCAACAGTATATCCTAGTGACCTAGTATTATATGTAGATAATTAAAATAATCCCACCATTGAAGATATTTCCTTAACAGGCGTTCCGGATTTGACAAATGGAGTCTTGAAAGACGAAAGGCGGGGAATACGATTTTTGGGGACCTTGCAGGTGATACGTGTTTAATACATATTGACGTTTGACGCTGCTTTCAGTACAAATACAACGGAGCCGAGGAATTGGGGGGCTTAAGCTTTTGCTCCGAGATACCTTGCAGCAAACGTCGAGTTTTGTAAAACGTTTCGTGTACTTAGCCGGTATGTATCACTATGCATGAATGTTCCAAGTCAAACGGAAATATTGTTGTAATTGTTTCTAACCTTAGCCCTGTCAGTAACTTCATTTCCAGTTCTCTGCTTTGTTCCCATTTTTCATTTCCCCCCTCCCCATGCTCGTTCTTTCTCCCCCATTCCCCGTTTAAGTAACATCAATGTTTGAAAGCGACTTGTATCTGATCAAAATTAGCCTAGTGGAAGGCAGGAGAAAAATATACAGAGAGAAGAAAAAAAAGAACAATGGAAGAACCGGGAGAGCGCTCGCTTCTTTTTACACTCGCGATCCACAGTCTGAAAGCCGAAACGAAGATTGACAGTTTGTTTCGAATTGATGACGTCACAAAGACACCAGCAATAGCTAATAGACCACTTTCGATGTATTAAGATTTAGCTTACTCCTAAAATGTCTTCTTGTTCCGGTAAAAGTCGAAATTTTGATTTCAATGCAAGCAACAAGTCTGGAAAAAAGCTCCAGCAAACAGTAAAAACAGAAGGTTGTTGTCCGCTATTTTGAATTTGCAATTGCTCTTTTAAGACCGGGCCGGGTTTTTGACCTAATTGAATTCCAAAATACCCAGTCTTTATCGTCTACAAAATCGCAAATCCTTCAGATAAAAAAAATCCACTGAAATTCACCAAAAATTCTTAAAAAATTTCGGCTTTTTTTGATAGTGAGGGCCCCTTTTGGTGAATAACCGCTGATAAGTTGTAGTATAGACGACTCTGATGAAAAGCCGCTGATTCGTTGTGCTCAGTAGACCGTTCTTTAGACACTGCTGTAGCATTTGAGCGGACTGAGCCCTCTCTTGGTCGGTAGGAATACAAAAAAAAAAAGGTTTTGTCAACATTTAGCCGTGAAATATTGCCAAAATGTCAGGTGAATGCTCAAATTGCTCTAAAATTCTCCAATTTGTCGATTTTCCCCCTAAAATTCCCGAGATTTTCTAACATTCTTTTTGATGAGTAAAATTCCAAAAAAAAAAAAAAAAAATTCTTTCCGGAATTATGTGCCTAAGCCTAAGGTGGGCGGATTCTATGTTTCGTGTGGATAGGGGACCGATTCGTTTTTAGAAAAATTTCGCGGTTTCCTGAATATCCGGAATCCATCGTGTAGACGGGGCCTCTTGAGGATGGATTCATTTGCAGAATACGTGTTTAGCCGTCGCATTTGCTCACTAGAGTTTTTCGGGGCTGGGATATGCCACAAACGCCTTCAAACCCTTCGCTACCCTGTATTAGTCAAGAGACCTTTTTTATGACCCTAAATCATTTTATTTCGCACTCAGAATTAAGTATTTTTCTTAAATTAATTAAGTAATAATTGCACAATAGAAATTAATCAATCGATTATTATTAGACCATTATTATTATTATTGTAGACCACGCAAAGCGAACGTTGACACCCTGTTCAGTGCTTCCGTCAAGAAAAAAAAACTCGTTCAAGACGTAAATTAATCGTTTAATTGTATGCCCCGAAAACCATACTCTGTTCGGTTCGGCGGCGATACCCGTTCAGGTTCAAAAATAAGGGAGAACCCCTGGGACTCAGGCCGGTTCAGTAAACATGCGTCTGGTATTTTTTATCAACTGGCAATAAAGATAATGTACAACAACAAAAAAAAAACAGATAATCTTAATCTTTACTGATAATCTTAAAAGTTTATTTTGCTACCTGTGGCTTGTTGAAAACTAGTCAGGGCGTGATGATTTAACAATCGTTGGGATAAAATATGATGTTCTTGTGATTATGTGTTGTCCATATTTCTAATTTCTATAGATCTACAGGTCGAACAATATTACTGACAACTTGAGTCAAAAATCGCTCGAAGAAACACTATTCTGTTCATTAGGGCGCCTTATTCGGGACTTAATTGATTCCCACAAAAAGTCGAAGAACTCGCAGATAGTCAGTACACTGCAGCCAAGAAGTAAGCCCATATTACCACCAAGTTCACCTGAAATTGTAGAAACAGACGCTATCATTTGTTGTTAAAGCTTCTTTTCCTTTGTTATGGGTTTTATTAATTTACAAGAATGAACAAGATAGAAACGACGTCTGTTCGCACACGCGTTAATAGCCTGTTACGTTCCAGGCGTTCACCAGCCCCTGCCCCCCCTCCGCGGTGTTTTTCTGCTCACTATTTTTTGCGCCGTCCCCACTATCTGAATATGCCTGGAACAGGCTAGCACGTGAAATGAATCCACTGCCGGAAGTTAGTAATTTTCATTTTTAGTGTTGTGATGAAATGGA